TCAAATCTCAAAACTTTGATCTCCAAAATTCAAAATCAAAATTCAAAATTCAAAACCAAAATTCAAAATCAAAATCAAAATTCAAAATCAAAATTCAAAATCAAAATTCAAAATCAAAATTCAAAATATGAAATCAAAATCAAAACGAGGGAAAAACTTTATACTGTAAAAAGAGATTGTTTCAATACTGGGCACAAAATCAAGCAGTTGTGTAGAAGAAATGATGAGGATCAGGATTTCTGCCCTGCGACGCAAAAATATTCGATTGGAAATGGGAGCTTTATGTTGCTGGTCTGACTGGTTCACTCTGATCCGACTGGAAGGGCCACATTCTTGTGTTGAGATTTCTTCTGTGAAACGTTTTCACATCGCGATCCCCTCAATGATCTCAATCTGGTGCTGCAGGACCCTTCGCTTGTTTATCGAAACAGACCACAAGAGCTCGTCTCGCCTAGTGGTGGTGGCAGTCAGGCTGGACTACCTAGTGTGCTGCCTGTTCACATATCGTGGTCGCAGGCCCGGAGCTGCCTGTGTGTTTCAGTGCCTGTAGTTGTTGGGGGTGCCAAGCGGCGCACTAAGGTGAATAGGTTGAGGAGGTCCCTGCCAAAGTCGACGAAGAAGATGACCTTTTAGCTGATTGAGCTCCCGTGCTTGTGCTCTGGAGTTTTGGCTTGAGGCAGCGGACTAACTAAGTGCGCCCTGTTGTCTTTAGCGGACTAGTGTTGTCAGATCGTCAAGGAAAGCTGTTTCGTACTGTTGCCTCGTGGCCGTGTAGTGTTAGTTTAAGAGCGTTCCCTACTGACAAGGAAGCACTTTGACTCCAGCTATCTAAGGACTCGCAACTCGCTTACGTGACTACTTACTTTTAAGTTGGCTCTTAGGAAACCTATCTGGGCTATGTGTCCCGGTGTCCTTCGTTTTGAGTTCAAGCAAAATAGCTCGTATCTCGTTCACGCAACTACTTAAAGTCTTAAAACAACTAACCAACCAGGACTAGGCTTTTAGTTTACTTCGCTTCGTGTTTAACAACTGACTTCGCGTCTCGTTCTAGCAACTAACTACTTGTTTTTACCCAAACAACCAACTGACTCCGCATCTAGCTTTCGCAACTTCGTTTTTATCTCTCTGTGTAGTCTGCTTTTAATCTGTTGGACGTAGTATGAGTTATCACGGCTGTGCTAGAGTAGTTGATAGCTTTAGCGTTCTGTAGTTCACTTGAGCTTCCTGCTCCTTTTCAGTCTTTGTATAGCTTTCTCTTTGTGTCTGTGAAATGTTTGCTTTCTCTGCGCCCACCGCTGCTGGTGCGTCGAACTAATCGAGCTGGAGGCTAATGCACTCCCACCATCGCCGGGCAGCATCCTGGAAAATACGTGGGTCGTACTAATTTTTTAGTATACCGCCCGCCATAACCCCCATCGAAAAATTTGCAATTGTAATTGTAAGTCATAAGTAATTAAAGACAGAACTACACCTTTCTACAGGAGTAAACTACAACTTCTTTGGGAATCGTAATATCTTACTGCAGGAAAGGACTCTTGTCAACTCATCAATCCTTCCTGGTACTGCATACTAAGTACAATAATACAATTAACAAGGAAAGTGCCTGTAGCGAAAAGCCAATAAACATGAAGCGATCATTTTGTTGCTAGAACCACGAGTAAGATTGATAAAGATTCTTGAAGGAAGCTAAAGTTATCATTTTGTTTCGTATTGGAAATAACAGAAAGCTGTTCTATCTTGCAAATGATGATCAAGAAAATGAAGAACAATTCCTGGCTTGTTTCTGCCACGACGCTCAGTCTGGTGCCTCCGCTGTGGACTCTGTGTGGGAACTCATTAGTTTCCGTCCATGGTTTACTCATTCAGAAGTCCGCGAAGGGCAACGGGACCGGACACAACGGGTCCTCTGGTGATGGATGGGATCCTCCCTCTGCTGCAGCTTCTACTAGCAGTTCTAATTATGCAGGTCGAGGTCAAGAAGTAGATGTTGAACATGCTGTTGAGGGTCAACACGGCCTACCGGATGGAGGGAACGGTGGCACTTTCCCTGTGAATCATCCTGGAGACGCAACTGCGGCAGCGGCTGGGGGAGGTGAGGCATTGATTTCTGTTGATGGTGGCGATCGACAAAGTGCTAGTTTCCATGGTAATAGTGTAGGTCAAGGGACGATGCAAGGCGCCTCTGGTTCCAGTTCGAACACTGGCGGCAATGCCGGTTGTTCAACGGGTCGTCGAGCTCGAGGTCAACTTGGAGGAGGACAGGTACAGGAAAGGGATAACGCAAGAACGCCATCGCCGCGTCGGCGTGCGCTACCTGATAATCACTTCGGACTAAGAACGCCGCCGCCGCCTCGTGGCGGTGGGCCCCCGGATTCTCCACCTCCGCTTCAAACCCGAGGTCAAGTACGAGAAGGCTTGGAGGAGCTCTATCACTGTTGAGAGGACGCTGCTGAGAGTGAGGCTGGAGAAGAGTCCACCGGCACCGTTGACCAGTCTAGAAGATGAAGATCTTGCTGAAAACCTGGTCGAGACTTTGACCACACAAGGTGACCACCGCTCGTCTTGAGATAACAGAACGCCTCACACAGAAACCGGAAGCAGAACTTTTTTTCAGCTCCTGATTTTGATAGGAAAGAAAATTGAGAAAATCTTCTCATTTCTCGCCAGAATCGCAGGGGGGAATATACTGATTCTGTCTTTTAATACACTGCATATCTTCATCTTCTGTGATGTATCTTCCTATACATAGATAATTTACCTATGCATAGTCGTAGATGCTACCAGGAAAACTATTGACCTCGCTGTTTGTGATGTCAAAATTAATCAAGATCAATCTGCGACTGCGATGATCGAACATGAACACAAAGAACCTCATCTCAACATGTACCTACATGAATTGCATGCCACTGTTGACACTTTATAATTACAAGAAACTAACTGCTGCTTCTTCTGCTGGCTGTGTCGTTGACGGCAAAACAAAGCTTTCATTTTCGCTGCAATACGACAACTCACGAGATGCTGAAATTTAGTTAATTATTAGTGCGTCACGTTCAATACTACTGCGAGCGAGAGAGAGAGAGAGAGGAAGCAACAAACACGATACGAGAGACAGAGAGGCATGATTCACTGCAGAGTGGATGCAAGTTTTGCGATAAAGACAACAAAAGTATCGGGTTTCCGATAGATCGGTGAAAATAGAGTTTCTGTACTCAGAAAAAAAGCCAAATCTATGTTGCGAGTGTGAGCGAAGTAGACAGAGAGCTAATCAGTTCTATGATAAACCAATAATATGTCATTACGTAAAGATGCGGCAGATTGATACGAGACATCTTAATATCTCGATGACATTGCAGCTTACGCCTGCGACATCATCTGCACTGTCCTTGCCGAGAAGTTAATCATGTCGGGTAGTAGGACTGGTTCCGCCTCGAAAGCCCTTGGCGACCCGTCTTCGCCCTCTTTGCCAGCCGTTGCCGGAGCCGCACGTAGTGACTCAGCGGAAATGAGGGGAGGCCTTCCGAGACTGCTGGATAATGGCAATGTGGATGCCGCAACAAAGCCGCACAATTCTGAGGATACGAAGTTGAGTCTTGCACCGGAATCGCCAGGCTCTCCGCCACCCGAAAGGGGTGGACCGCGAAAAGACAAACAGAATACTAGCCGACAACTCCCGAAAAATTACCTGACACTGCAATCTGCCAGTCAGAGGACTGTAGCGGTACAACTTCATAGTACGATTATATCAGACATAAGTACGCGTCTACTGTCGATTATATCAGACATAAGTACGCGTCTTGTTCGGGCCTGTGCGCCATGTCGCGTTCGTTTGTTCTCATTTTTACTAGTAGAGGAAAAACTCATCTTAATTTGGCGGATTCACAAAGGGACGGAATACTTAAATTTTCCAGGTGACATAATCTTTCTACGACTCCTGCTAAAACTCAGCGTTTTTATCTTTTACTTCTTCCTCTCTGTGTCTGATTAATACCAGGTTGGAAAGTCTTTGGTGGTGGGGGAGAGCGGCAGCGCGGTTCCTGTACTGAAATCCCGAAAGGAGTCTATTGAACGGGTCCGGGATATGTACAGTCTCGACAAAGACGCAGCGAATGCAAAGTCGTCCTCTCTGAGAGGCAAAATTCTGAGTGTCAGCACCTCCCAATTTACGACGAATTCACGGGAGCAATCCCCTGCAGAGAGTCCAAACAACCGGCCGGGGAGCTCTCCGAGTTCACCCTCGAAAGCGAGCCCGTCAGCAGCACAGAAAGCAACAGGAAGTAGCAAGTCAGAAGACAAAAGCAGTGCGACTTCAGGAGGCAGTACACTAGGGTAAGTACATTCATACTTACGTAGATAGAGATACTGCTTTATCTTTTCCCCATCTGGTGAGGGTTTTCCATGAAGGTTATGTTCTTGGGTGTCGGAATTTGAGTATCTACTTATTCATTAAACGTTGATAGTACGTGAGCGTGTTGGCAACATAAGTAGTCAACATCTACTGTATTTGCCTTTCCAGATTGAAGGCGTCCGGGAAGCATCTCTATAAGCAGCGAATGAGCGTGAAGGCGAGACTGCGGAAGGGGAGTCAGGACGACAGCTTTCTACCAACGATACGGGAACGCGAGAACTCTCATATTAAGGGTTGCAACTTGACCTACCTAATTGATTATCAAATAAATGCATGTATCTGTCTCGTTTAGAGGACATCAACAAGTAGGAATAGGGACAACGTAGATACTTGTGCGAGAAGATAGGTCGGGAAACAATGCTCGGCAACCTCTATCTAAGGGTACAGAGTCTTGCGCAACTCCAAGTAGCCGCGACGGGAAGAGTTCGATCTTCTCAAGCCTGGACGACAGTTCAGTGGCGCGCGACTCGCAGTGCGCAGTGTTTGATTACAACGATCTCGAGATTTATGACACCAAGAAAAAAATTGTTGTTCTTGACGAACTGGTAAATTTTTACAGCAAGAACAACTAATTCCAAGGATCTTCCGGGAAGGATGTATCCAACAAGAAGATCGAATTTATGGTCATTTTTTTGCTCGTGTGGATCCCACTTGTATGTTCCACTTTCATGCTTGCGAATGTTTTGAGGACGGTGGTGGAAAGCGAGACTCCGCATCTGCACTGCAAGTTACATCCAGCAGCATCGTGTCTCTCTCGGAGTTCTCGGCGCTCTCGAGACCACTAGCTGCGATTCTACGGCGATACGGAATGGACCTCCCATTGGAACTGCAGAAGTACATCGTTCCAGTGATCACGGAAAGCTTGAAAATTATTTTGCGAAGATGTCATTGTCAATGTTCGTTTTCCGATTCAGGGATATATTTATATTATAAATATAATGCAATGTCATGATGCATTTGCATTAGCTTTTTTTATCCCTCTAGTGTCTGTGTAATCGTGTGTGATGTGGTTCTAAGTATCTGAAAAAGAAGCGGTTCGTTATGATTCAGGGACCGCCAGATAGTGGGAAGACAAGCAGTTTGCTCATTTCGCTACTAGCTGTTTACGCTTTTCCAGAGGTTGGGCTTTTCTCTGATGCGGTCGCTGCTGCGCAGGCGGCTACTTCTACAGCAGGCGCCGCTACTGGAGGGCATGAGGGACATGAAGGACCTGCTGTTGGAGTGGGGTTTTCTGGAACCAGTACGGCAGGTGATAGTGGTGCAAATAATAAAGGTGGAGGTCGCGGAAATGCTAATTCTGCTACAACAACAAAGTATTCTTCCGGGAAAACAACCAGTCACGCTGGAGGAGCAGGAGCCTTAGGCTCAGCCGCTCTATCTTCTGGCAATGGGACAGCTGGAATGATTTCATCTTCGAGTACAAACATTATTGGAGTTTCTGGTCTTAGTACCGGAGTTGTTCCTTCTGGTGGCACGACCACGACGGAGTACCTGTCGGGCGCAGGCGGATTGAATACCATCGTACTTGTGTACGAAAGCATGGAGAAGAGTCGCAAATTTTGCAATTTTGCTTTTGGTGCTGAGCAGACGACTTTTAGCTTTGTTGACGGGACACCAAACGATCACAGCACCAGGTTCACGAATCGAGCTGGGCCCTATTATCCGCGCGTTCTATACGGCCACCCTAGCGCCGTGCTGTCACTCTTGCGCGGAAATCTCAATCGATCGTCGAACCTGCGTCCGTCCAGCGGCAACGGCGTAGATCTCAGGGATTTGGAAGTCTTTATTCTAGACGACGCAGAGAAGCTGATCCAGAACGACTGCATGGACGATGTCTGCGAAATATTGCAGATCTGTAAATTTTTCTCAAGGAAGAAGCTACGGTTTATCATTCTGTCGGGTTATATTTTGAGCAACCACTTTTTCGGATCGAATTTCTCGACTACTCGGGAAGGGGCAGGAGAATTCGGTAGTGGATTCTGGAACCGCGGCGGGACGTCATCGAGGAAGGTAGAACATGGAGCAGGTTCTAGTATTGGAGCTAGTAGTCGCATGCTGTCGAGTCTGACAAACAAGGGTCAGAAGCAGCATTCCTCGATGCTGCGTTCACTCCGGAACTCCTTAATCAAGGGTCAAAATTTGTTCGGGCTCCGCAAGGATCAGATCCGCACACGTGCTCGGCGCTGGGTAAAACACTACGCAGTTGTCGCTCGCCGGAAACGATGGGCAAAGCTTCTCGCTGATCTTCACAAGACGCTTTCCTTGCCACTGGGTGTGATTTTTCTCGACCAGGCTAGACTGGATCTTGCTTCGACTGCGAGCACGTCGCGCGCTGGCGGGCCAAGTCAAGCAGCTGGTGTGCTGCTGAGTAACATGGCCTCTCCTTCGCCAGCGGATGTATCGCAGAAGGACCCTTTTCAGGGTGACCATAAGATGGTAGTGAAGGGCTCTCTGGAACGAAAAGACTCGAGCTGCAAGGATAGCGGAGCAGGATCAGGCGCGTCTACACCTTCGCACGCTTCGAGTTCGAAAAGCCGAGGTTTCAAGAGTAACGCTGAATTGGTAAAGATGCGTTCGGTAGTCAATCCATCGTCGCCACTACGGAATTCGACCAATAAACCAGCTGCGGGGGGAAACAAGCTGACAGGTGAGAAAGCATCATCTTCGACATCAAATTCAAAAGAGGACGTACCCTCATCTTCATCAGCAGTTGCATCCTCTACTTCTACTTTAGCTGCTGACGCTCCTCCCGAAGAAAGAAGTAAAACTCTTTCAGGCAATCAGGGAGAAGATGACGCAAAAGATGGTGCAACACCTGAGATTGAAAGAGATGAGGCAGCCACGACAGGAGAAGACACTGCAGTAAAAAACGAAGTAGATAGAAATACCGCTGGTGGGGTTGCTGGGGCCGAAGCGAAAAACAAGGACCAAGACGGAGCTCCGACATTATCAGCAGTGCCTCCCTCAGCAGTGCCAGGATCGGCCTCCGCAGTAGCCGGCAACACGTCACCCCCGGCGCCAGCGGGTGTCGCTCCGGCTACTAGTAGTTCCATGCGGATGCGCATGAAACCGAAATCAGCTGCCGAGCGAGCGCGCGAATTGGCAAAGCAGCAAAGCCTGGCGAGTTCCAAAGGCAGCAGTAACAACAGCAAAGAGCAGCTCGCGGGTGCAGCCTCCTCGAGTGTAGCTACTACCTCACAGCAAGTCCAACAGGCCAGCGCGGAGACGTATCAGGATGAGGTAGCATTGTTGGAGGAGTTATTGCATGGACAACTAGCCATCCACCCCACGCTCGACACGCGCAACGCAGCCGGCGGCTGTGATTTCTTCCTCACGCCAAGTAACCCTATCATACTTCGGGCCGAAGTGCCGAAGGGGCTCCGCTGTGTCGTGCATCTCGGCGTACTGGAGACGCATCTCTACGGGCTACGCCTCCTCGCGTTGCAAATTTCGGGGGAAGAACAGAATACACGGACGAAGGGAGACGGTTCGCAGCAAGAACACGCAATTTCTCTTCTCTTCGTCGAGCCGGACGATGCGAATTCAACCATGCGAGATATTGAGAATGAACTAGACATCACAATTCAGGTTATCCCAAACGAACTTCTGCCAACATGATTTAACTTACCTGTAGTTTAACTAAATATTCTACTGCTGGTGCTCGAATAGAATAGGACGAGGTGCACAGTTGTTATTGAACTTTCTTGAAAAAATGTTGATGCATGTTGTTGAGTGCTGCAAATTATTAGCTACTAGTAGTGGCATAAATATCGTGAGTGAAAGGATCTGCGATGGGAATACAGTTCGTAATAGAACAAGAACGGCATCACTGTGATGTTTTCAACTAGTATTGCAGGTATTCTAGATCGGAAGTGTCCATCGGAACATTCAGCACAATCCTTCGGTCGTAATTGTTGAAGTGACAACAAACCTCAGAAGTTGCAACATTGTATACTTTTGGTGATAAAACAAGTTAAAAGAAAGAGGTCACTTGCATTTCCTTTTTGGTTGGTAAAAGTGACGCATGATGATCGTGCTTTTCAAATGGCTCCAAAGGTACTTGCATAGACTAATGCTGGTACGTCGCACAGTTCTCCGTCCATTCTGAACCACATTTACTGAAGAAACTTTTGGCCTAGGTACAACTGTGCGAAAGTGGTATGTTGTAATGTAACTTCATGCATGCCGGAAAAAGGACTGAGCTACCTTTTAGCACATAAGCATCCATGGCGATGTCTTGGTATCTAGTAAGCACAAAAATGAAACGAAAAGAGCGAACAAAATTGAAAAGAGGTTAAAAGAATTTATCTGTAAATCTATAAAATTAGCTAAACTACTAAGGCTTCACCACGACACGCTGGAAAATATTTATGCTATGTGGTGGCTCTTAAGATAGAGGCAACGCATAAATCGGTTGGGATCGATTTGAATCTCGACATTTTAACATCTCATGGAAGCTAGCCGCAAGGGAAATGTATCCTGCTTGTGCTTTATCGGAGTCAACAGTCAACAACCGATAAAATCTAGTCCCACCTTATATTCGTCTGTGGAGTTACGCACGTCATGCCACAATTACCTCGTCCTTCGTTCTCTACCGCTCCCTCTGGCAGTGATGACGCCGCGTCATATGCAAACATGTCAAGCGATAGTAGCTATGCGTACTGTGACGCTCCCCCAAACGAGAGCGATGTGCAGGGAGCTCCTTTCCAGGGATGCGCTCATCGTACTGCTGATCCTAGAGGGAACAGCACAACAACCGGTCCGTTATCGCTAACAGATGCGCTTTCTCTCCTGGGTTTGACGACGGTCAATGTCGAGGAAGCCATTGTCCGACAACACTGGCGGACCAAGTCGCGCGATGTCCATCCGGACAAGAATCCTGGCCGAGAGGACGAATTCCATCGACTCCAGCAGGCTTTGGATCTCGTCTTCAATGCGCATAGTCGGCAAGCTGGGAGCGCGGTGCAAGGCAGTGTACCGAGGACAGGATCTGCAGCATCATCATCGTACTCTTTCTTAGACATTTAAATTGTTTAGATTAAAACTAAAAGTTAATGTAGTTGTATTCTTGGGAGGCTAGAGGTTTTTGTGACTCTCATTATTTTACTTGAACGATGATCTCAGTAGGAGTTACAGTAAAAAGAATGGCGCTGTTTTTTCTTGTTTTTTGTGAATTTTTTGTAGCCAAGCAGCGCACGTATATCAAGGCTAGGTCCTCACGGCCGAGCACTGCGCAACGGCGATCAGAGCAGCTCGACAAGCACGCCTTGGCCTTCGGCACTCAATTCGGTTCGGATCTTATAGACTTCCGTTACTATGAGCCATTGAGCTCTCTACAACCTCCAGGAGCTTCCACTGGCACAACTCTCTTAGAGGACCAAGAAGATGCTAACTGTGTTGCTCGTTTTCAGCACCAGGAGAAGCCACAGACTATGGCGATGGTGCCGGTACAGCAGCAAATGCAGCTGGCGCGAGAGAGCGGTGCTGAACTGCAGATGATTTGGCGCTGCACGCTATGCGAGCCAGCTTCATCCTCAGTCTGCTGTCGTTTGAAACCGAAGAAGCACTCCTGCATATGCGGGCACAAGCGGGAAGCACACGACCTAGTGACGGGAAGGTGCAAGAAGTGCGTGTGTCGGAAATTCGCTTTCCATGTGCAGCAGGGTGCGTGGGAAGTCCGCTGCAGCTGCAAGCATAAGCGGTCAGACCACAAGCCGGAAGTCGCAACCATTTTAGTACCCTCTCCATGCGGAGGGCCACCAGTGCAGCAGCAAGTAACGCGTTTCGTCTGCCATGGAACGGTGCCAGGACAGCGAAACAAGCGATGTCCATGCCGCTGTTTCGAGGCCTCGTGGACATGCAATTGTTATGGAAGACGAGCTGAAAAATGGTTGAAGACTTTTTGTTCTATGAAGATACGAGTCTGCACTTCAATGATGCATAGGTATAGGTAAGAACAGGCAGCAGTAGCAATGACGATTTCACTTTCACTCGCTGATCTGCAAAAGGCGTGATCACGGTCCTAAAAATAGTATCTAAGCTTACGGTCATCCTTGGAGCGCGCACGAGAGTGTGCTTTCAGTCGTCTCGCGAGAGAACCGAGCTCTCCTAGGACGTGAGTGGGTCTGCGGCGGCCTGCGGGTCGAGTGCGTTGAAATAGCGGAGGAAACCCGCAGCAAGTGGGCGTCACAAGCGGCAGAGCAAGTCGCGATGGGGCAGCTCACAGGTGAGGAAGCCAAGCAGATCGCCGCGAGCTTCACCGAACGACTCTTATGGGGACCTCGTCTGTCTAACTACTTGTCTAGTACTTGCATTTGATGTATTTGTTCAACTGCGAGCTTCGACTCCTTCGAGGGACTTGCTTCCTTTGGGTTCTTTAAAGTACTAGAATCATTTGATATAAATATATATTTAGATCATAGTAGGTGCAATACTCTATTTAGTTTTTACCTGTATAGGCTTAGCCCTTCCAACAATAATACAGTAGGCGCAATGCATATGCATCATGACCAAAAAATGGCCTTTTCTAAAGGTGAAACTCTCGAGAGTGGCAGAGGCACGCATGCACGAGGCGGTGGACGACCTGGAAACGCAGATTGAAGCGCCGCCAAAACTAATGAAAGTAGTGTACCCGAAACAGGGCATAGCGTACCGAACGGCACCGAAGTTTGAGGCGAGAAGCTCGCTCACTGCGAAGGTGGGCGACGTCGTAGAGGGCAGAGTCTACACGAAGTGGCTGAAGCTGCAGCTTCCAGGGGGTTTTGGACAGGATGCTGATACTAGGGGAGGTTCTTGTGGTGTTGATCCTGAGGGCGCCGGCGGCGAGACCGGAGAAAACTGCACCAGTAAGGCTTTTTACTTCCTACCACTGTATTCGCAAGACGGCAGTAAGATCATCCTCGAGGAAGTACCGCGGATGCCACCACAGTTGCGTCACGAGTACACGGCTGAGGTCGAAGAGGGCGTCGTTGTGGACGAAGTGAGACTGAGCCGGGACTTTGCATCCTCATCTTCCTCGCGTCCACCTTCTATTAAGGGAACCTGCACTAGCATCCTTGGCCTTTACCTTTCTAGTACAAAAGGGGCCAGGGAGGTTGTGAGAAGAGATATCTGGTAAGTATTCTGTAACCTCACATCTAACACCAGTAATGCTCCAAGCGCGACAGCGACGAAGAGACGAGTGAAAACAAGCACAAGAACAGCTGCAGTTGGAGGTGGACAACTCGGAAGTAGTCAGCAGCTTAATTTATCTTCTCGCTCTTTTAACAGGAATGAGCAAGGAAATGCTGAGCCCCACTCGTTCTCAGCAGCTGGCAGCCCTCCACATCAACTGTATGAGGGAACGCACTGCGCCTCGAGATCCGAAGCAGATCCCTCCTCTAACGACACAAGTCGCATCCCGAGTGGCGTCAGCACGGTTAGCTCACTCAGAGTAGTTCGCGATGGACATCCACGCCGCGGCGAACAGGGAGCCGCGAGTGAATCTTCTGCGCCGGCGATTTCCTGTGCTGCAAGTCCGTCGACGATATCTCCTCCCAGTTGCAGTACCAGCGCAGGACCACCAGGAGGAGCCATGCCAACTTCGTCTGTCAGAGGAGCGAACAGCGGCATTTTGTCCTCGTCGTGTAGCACAGGCACTTTAACAGGAGCAGCGTCGTTCGAAACAGTGCCAGCTCCGGTCTCATCACACAAGATGTCATTCGCATCTTACTTTCAGCGAAATTGCAAGCTTTTTCCTGGCATTTCTGAGGATCTATCGCATCTCGACGACGAGGGTGATCGCGGCACGCGAAGTGCGAAACAGGGGCAGCCAAGTGCTACTCCTGTACTTGGTGTTCTGGTGGCAATTCTAGACTAAGTTGTTGTGCTGGAGCATTGATCTTTGATTTCAAGTGCAACTACCAGTGCCTCGCATGCAATGACTGACTGCTTACTACTTAATATGGTAGAAGTAGTCCTCGTATAATGAAATAATTTTCTGCGAAAAATTATCGGATCTTGCTTCTCCACTTTCATCAGGAGACCGCGCCGCCGGGAGCTCGCGAGCTGCCATGGAATGGAACCGCTCGCGATTCCACTAGTGTTGGGAAGATGAAATTTGGTACGCAGTTCGAGACTGAGACGAACTCCTCAATGTTGGTCGAGGATGCAATGCCAGTGGCGAACCAAGAATCACATTACGAGAGCAGAAGGAACGCATGTTTTGACGCGGGTGGTTCGTCTTCATTAACTTCCGTAATGGGGAGCTACGGGTCCACGAGCGACTTGGAAGTGATCGAGGACGTTGCCATTTCAGGTGAAGAACCACAGGAAATAGAGACGCAGCACCTCCACATGGAGGAAGACACCTTTCTTGTCGGACGGAACAGTGCAACATCTTCTACCGCGCCCACAAACTACTACAATCAACATGGTAGAGGCAGTACTAGAGTATCTCCTGGGCGAGGGGGAGCCGCTTCTTCGACAGCTTTCATATCGCCGGCAGTGACCTCATCACAGATGGGCCGCGAATCGTCGATCACGTCTGAGCGATTGAGTGCCTCCTCGCAAAGCAGCGTGATAGTACAGGTCGGAGTGAGTGCAGCATCTTCCTCTTCCAGTAGGTTAGGTCCTCGCGAGTCAGAAGTTGTGGAGCTTCCTCAAGCGTCTCTAGGTAGTGGCACTCTTCAGACCGACCCCAATTCAGATACGCTGTTCCCTGATATTCGCGTGCAGCGTGTCTCTGAGGAGAGCTGCCCTCCCGGGCGCTCTAGCGGACTTGGTCGGAACAGTACATCACAGGCTCATGGACAGATTCTTCCTACTTCTAGTTCTGCAACTTCAACACCAGGAGGAGAGCACCCATCCAGCGCTGATCTGGCGCAAAGTGCGCGCGACAAATTGCAACTTCTTCGTCGTCACTCCTCGTCCTCGTCTTCGTCCTGTGCAGACCATTTGAACCAGCAACTGAGCTCCTCGCCACTGACTTTTTCACCAGTCGTTGCGGCGACTGGCAACAGCCTTACCACTCCATCTCTCTCTACACCAGGCGCTGCAGATAATTTTTCTCAACACTTGAATACGGGCCACCCTTCTCCTTCTTCATCTTCGACTGTGGTGAAGCTCCCTAACGCTGCGACGCCGCCCTTCCAGGGGATAAGTTTGAGCCACGAAGAGCATCGGCAATTTTCGGGTGAGGGAGACGCAAGCACCGAAGCAAGCCTTGAGTCAAGTACTAACAATATGGGATCAAACAAGTACGCACCAGGCCCACGACTTAGCTTGCTGCGGAGCCGCATTCGGAATCGAAATTCCAAAACAAGCCTGCATCTTCCAGCTGTCGTGGAGGGACAGCAAACTTCTGGCGTGGATCATGTAGCTGGTATGAAATTGAAAACATCAAGCGAGGCAGAACAAGTACAATTATCCCAGGTACAGCAACAATTATCTTCCTCTCACTTGCAACATCTTCGACCGGCTGGCGGCAGAATGAGTACGCGGTATACTGCTGCAGCTGGAACAACAGGTGGAGGTGGAGCGTCAAACCTCCAACATGCTGCGAATCATCATGGAGCGAATGCCATGTATGCATCGCTTTACCACTCAGGAGGGACTTCGTCAGGCGCCACTTTATCGCATTTACCAGGAGCCTCCTCTCCGAGTGCAGACATCGCGGCCGCAGCGCGTGAGCGTCTCTGGGAGCCACTGTCGGGTATCGAAGCAAGAACAGTATCTGAGGAGATCATTACCTGTGAGGATCATAGTACGATGATGCATCAAGCGTCCAAAGTTACAAAGCCGACAAGAATCCCCGGGTCAACGGCAGCTGGTTTGAGTGAAAGCGGTGTCCAACAAAATCATAGTACAGTGGGAATAGCGGGTGCAGGAGGCGGCTTTGCGGAGCATGAATATCATGAGCCGTATTTTCGTAGACATGATCCATCGTCGCGTTCGCAATCTCTCAATAGCCAGGCAGCGATTGGTGGAGGCGGTCATCAAATGTTGGAAGCACACCATCAGCCCGGAGGCGATTTAGATTTGGTGCCATTATTCGCGCAAGATTCAAGTCGCAAGGTGAGAAAACTGAGTATTTCGTCACCAGCTGACGGCGAGGTCGGGGCCGGTCGTTACTCTACCGATAAGCTCGCACTCCTCAAGAAGAAAATCAAGATGCCACGCTGAGAAAACTGATGATGATTTAACAAACTGATGATGTAGTTACCTCTACAAAAATGAAGTAATGATTCGTTGAAATTGATACAAAACTATTGAGCATTCTTCATATTCTTTCCCGAGAATACTGTTTGTGTTCCTGATACTAACGCGCAGGATGTTGCCATCCACTGTATATATGGTAGATTTTTGCTATGTCGTGATATGCTAGCACGCATGGTGCATGGAGTAGCATGGAGTGCATGGAGCAGACGCAGCATCGCCACGCATGGAGTGCATGGGGCACGAACAAGCCCCCGGCCCACCCGGGGGTGGGTGGGTCGGGGACTGTAGAAGTCGGGGTCGGTTGATCGGCTAGACCGACGCCGCGGGAGCGCTGCCTTGTGTGTAATGCGGAGGCGTGATGTAACTGGCGGCGCTGCACCAAGCTGATTTCTTGCGCGCCCCAAGGCCCCGGCCCGCGAGTGAGTGGGGACGTAGCAGTTGGCTTGGGTGCTGGCGGTCTGGATGCTTGACGTTCCCGCCTGGGGTGCCGAGCTGTAGGCGTGTGGGCTCTGACGAAGGGGCGCCCGAAGAGCGCACCGAAAAAATTTTCACGCATGGAACGCATGGAGCACCTGCTCCATGCGATCCATGCGCCCCATGCCATGGGAGCTGCCAAGCCTTATATATGAATTATTCTGTAATAATTTATCTCGTCTGCCTTCTTGTATATCTACGTTTGATGATGGCACTTTGTTTCTTTGTTTCTCTGGGAGAATTGTTTTTCTGTTATAGTTATGGGGAGTGTTTTCACTTTTTGTACCTGACCACGCCATACCTCGTTGGAGGTCCTTTGAACGAAGTGAAGTTGTCTATTTCTTGATACATTGTTTGCGTAAGACTGTATCGGTCCAGCATTCGTGGTAGTATTATTGATTTGATGACACTGGCACTACGCCAACATTAATGAAGAAAGAATCAATCACAATCACATTTCTTGGAGAATTTGATGAGTCTCAATTCCTCGGGGATTGATATAGCATCATGTTTTACATACGCGCGCCCATGCCTTCGACGCCGCATTGTCGAAGATGAATAGAAACCAGTCATTTTCCGCGCACCCCATAGAAAAATTTCACCGAAACTGCCGACTATCCTAAGCACAAACAACAAAATGTTGCCGAAAACATAATGACGACGCCTATTTAATGGAAGATCAACGACGAAAGAACATCTACAACTCGAACTATTCCTTAGGTGTTCCTTATTTGAGGACATCAGTGCGACGCTTCTTTCCTGAAATTTAAGAACAACTGTTCCAGAGTAGTCGATCATAGTGAAGAATCTGTTCTAGCTCAGGAGACACGTGTTGCCACTTGCAGTACTGCTACAACTATGCTCGCTGTTTTCTTGAAGCCCACCCGAAACGAGGAAACTTGAGAGACAAGAACTTGCCCTGTACTAGGTAAACCAGATACCACCTATCTATAAGCTACCTAGGAGGCCCAAGCCATGTCGCGGCCGGTTTCGGCTTCCCACGAGTCGAAGCAAACCTCTGGGATTGGAGGAGCACAAGAGCTCAATTCGGAGAAGAAGCCTGCTCCCATTGAAGTAAAAAACTATTCAACGTGCTCTGACACGCTGAAAATGATGGACAAGCAAGAACATGCATTCAGCGGAGCGGCGGTGCTTCTGCGCAATAATGCTCTCGATTTGAACCTAGCAAAGGAGCAGAAAAAATTGACTTGCGCTGGATCTGCTGCAGAGGGACAGCAAACTGAAGCAGAGATGAATAACAAGGCTGCGCACAAACAACACTTAAGGCTAGAATGAACAGTTGTAAAGGATCATTCAGGCCACCAACAAGAAAGGAACTTCATCTCTTTCGAGATGTTTTTCGGAAAGAAATATCCACGAGTACGATAATCATGCTCGTGAAGATACTGAGTACGTAGGTAGTTTTTACCTGAAGACTGTGGTCGTAGCTCTTGCTCTAAGAGGGAGGGAACATCTGTCGCTCACCGGTTCCCTCACCCCTGAGCCTGGTATTTTGCGTACTTTTGCGCGTGTCCTGCAACAGCTCGAGACGCGGTTGGAGACGCTGGAAGACAATGAGCGAAGCCATGTTATCACGATGCAGGAGCAAAGATCTCGGCTGAGCAAGCTGAGTGCGGCGTGGACTTTGACAGAGCACACACGCGATCGTGTTGCCAGTGCGGAAGCCGAAATCACGGGGTGTAAATTCCGCGACGAAACTTTGGACACGGAAATCCGTGCTCTAAGCGAACGATGCGTATCAGAAGTGGAGCGTCGCGACGAAGAGCTAGCAAACACACAAAGAGCTTTCTCTTATGGACATACGTAGAGCATGAAGGTTTGAGGAAAATTGTATTCCTCGTCTAGTAGAACTTATCCAGATCGTCCCTAGTGGGATTTCCTGAATTGTATTATGCGTTCTTTGATATTTTTCCCAACATCTTTCTCTTTCTGCATTCTAAGCGTCGCTTCTCGGTGAACGTGTTGCCAAAGCAGAGCAAGATCTATCGAAGTTGGCCGCTGCCTTGACGACCAGCGCCGAAATGTGGGATGAGCGGTGTGTCACTCTCAACGAGCAAGTTGGGAACGAACTGCGAAAGTTTGAGCATCGCCAACTTCGCCTCGAAGACGACGTGTTCCGATTGGAAAACTCAATACTTCAGAGCAAATTAGAAACAAAAGGCTGGGCTACCCGCATTCAAGCCATTGAGGACAAAATTGAGCAGGTCCACGAAATTTGCATACTTAAACATGATTGATGATATTAAGCATGTAGAACTAAAGGTTCAATTTCATCAATTAGTCAATCTGTCATAACTTGGCTTGTGGTCCTAGAAGTTCATTAAGATGTTCAATAATAGTCAGACTTCAATAAAACAATTACTACGAACAATTCATTTCCTTACATGATCCTCCCGAAAAATTCCACGTATCCACCCAGATCGACACAGGCAAGGCCTCGGAGAGTGATCTTGCGGTGAAGGAGCGGCGACTAGCCGACGCCATTCGGGAGACAACACAGCGGCAGGCTGTCCTCGAGGTGCAACAGAATCTATTAGTGGAGGATGCTCGCCTTCTCATTAAAGAGACTGCGGATTTCGTCGCAGATAGTCACGAGAAATTCAAACAGGACTTTGGACAGAAATGGTCAGGCATCGAGGCAAGCAAGCACGCCACAGTAGCACGCATGGAAGCAACTGAACGGCAGGTCGGCAGTTTCAGCTATGGCCATGAGCATGACTTCAGTTCATCTAGGCATATTTCGCGCTCTACCGCCAATGCATAGAAAGACTGAAGCTATAGTATAATATCGCCTTATTCTGATGAGTAACTTCTGCTTCTTTGGCTTTCACAAGAATTCTGTCAGGCATTTTTTTACAAACGTTGGGTACAACATCTATCTATGGCCACTCGTTCCACTCAAGCAAATATGACTTTACCTTGCAGCTGCTCTAGGACTTCATGATGCACTGCGTGTATGTTTCATGGTTAAACGGAAGTGGAGCAGATTTGTGCGGAGTCTGTAGAGGAGTGTCGTGCCATGGTAACGGAAATGCTAGCTGAGCTTTCAGTGGTGGAGCAGAAGCGACTGCGGGATCGCCAACATTTCGAGAAAAAGGTTGTAGAGGAGCACAATCGGACTACGAACGTAGTTACCCGGGCTATCGAACAGCGTGGATTGGGATTGGCTGGTGGAGGTCTGAATACTTCCAGCAGCACATCAGGACTAGGGGAACGAGGAGAACAGCAGTCCTCGGCTGGAATTGCACTCGAAAAGGGAAGTATTAGTCCGAGGGGGGGCGAAGCAAACAGGACGACACATTTGCCTATAACCACAGCAAACGGTGGATCAACATCGAGTCCTCCACCACGTTCTCCTGCTGGCGCTGGCAGCGTGATTCTGCAGAAGGATGAAATGCCCTTCATGTTGTCCCATCAACAGACCGAGCCAGAAAATGGGATAACAGTAACACACTCCCCGACTCGAAACTCCTTGAACAAGTGGGTAAGTCCCAAAACTGGCGCAGGCAATGTAGGATCTTCCCATAGAGAGACGCAGCAAATCGTTGGTGAGTTGAACAATCAAAAGAACGGACGCATTACCGGACGAAGTAGGATGATCTTTGACGGGTATCTGGACTTGGGCCGCAGTCCGGGTAAGGCTAGTAGAGCAACAGGCGTCGCGCGAAAGGCCACGTCATTGGGTAAAAAGAGTTTCTTTTCAGAAGATCCTACTACGGTATCAGATACATTCAGTTTACTGCCAGGTGGTGCTTCTAGGACAAATGATGAGGGGAGCAGGATGACAGCTTTGTCATCATCAGCGTTGCCAGAAGACTCAACATCCTCTCCCTCTCCGTTATTTTCGCCCGCTCGCGGTCCAATCCTGCAAAGTCGCACGACGACAGTTGGTCAACTTAACAGTGCGGCTTCTTTTTCATCAGCTTCGGCGAGTCCGAGAAAGACCGAACAGGGTTTTGCGGGTACTACCATAGGTCGTGAATTGTCGAAAGAAAACGGCTTAAGTAACATGTCGATGTCAGTCATGCCGTCAGTCGTCTACACACAAAGTCTTGCGCAGAGAGCAGGGCGAATGACCAAGAAGATGCTCATGAACGAAAGTACTCGAAGACTCGAACGAGAAGTTCTCCAAAAGTTTGGTGCAAGTAAAACAGTAGTTTTGGATAACTAGTAGTTGTCCACCGCTTTTTGCAAAGGTCAATCGTTTTTTTTTAAACGACCTATGAAAAGACAAATACATGTGGGTCAATTTCAGATTTTGAGTGGTCCATCAAGTATACTCTGGATGTTGAAAGGTGGATGGTAATTTTTACTTTGTGAACATGAACAAGATGATGCAAGTGCAACAGATGAACATGAATAAGTGCACCTTTTCATCTTATGCTCCCTGACTCTTGCAACACTCTCGTACAAGATACTGTGTCTTCGTCAAAACGTGCCAGCATTTTCGCTAACAGTACGCATCTAAGAAAGCATTTTTGATAACAGCCAGTCGTGTTGTCGTTGCAGCAATGCCGCGCTTAGCGACATCAAGGGCACCATACCGTCATTTTGATTTTTGAAGGCCGAGGCTCGCGGGCAGCGGATGAGCGATCGATGATCGAGGTCATTCGTCATTGGGCAAGTAATTCCGCATTATCTCTACTTCGATGTCTTCTACTTCGTCTATCACATCAGATATTCGAAGGCAATAAACATCAACATGTCTTTTGACTCCGCCTCTATCATTTCGTCCCGAGCGGAGGGGTCGATCGGCTGGTCGTTGCTAGAGCGGCTTTCTGCTGACTTCAAAGACGCTGAGCCGCTTGCAGCGATAGACAGCTGGGATGTGCAAGGGACAGCAGAACTAGAAGGATCGACCGTACTGGATGGTAAAAATGCATATCAGCTTCTCCAGAAAGAGGCTTTCGGGAGCAATTTCGAGGGCACAAGCTTCCTCTTCAACTACGTTCTTTTGCTCACCAGCGTAGTGATTTTAGACGCCTACGAGAGGGGTCAGGAGAGGTTTCTGTCTAGTAGAACTTTCAAAGTAGACGAGGAAATTTTGGATTTGGATGGACCTTATCGTGGTGCCAGAACAGAGAAGAGACCAGCAGGGTTTTCACTGCAAAAGTTCCTTTTCGAGCTTTTTGGCCTGATGGTTCCTCTAACGCTAGTCGGCTCGATGCCCCAGTATCTTCCCTTGTACTGGCTGAGCGCAACAGTGGCAGTGATTGCTTTTTGGGCAGTGTTGAGGAAGTCTTCCTCCTTGAATAATCATAGCTGCGGCGATGAATCCGGACAAAAGCTCAAGAGAATAGCAACGGACGAGAGTCCTCGAATTGATACTCAAGGACGCGGCAAAAGTGGGTCGTCCTCAAAGATGAAGCGCGTGGCGCGTTCACGGTCCTCTTCGCGGTCTGGTGCTCCTAAAGCGGGTGCTGCTAAAACAAGAACTTCGCGAGGAGATGCTGATCAGGGTAGGATTTCAGCAGAGGAATGCACACCGACATTCGACAAGCAATCAGGAGGGCCAGCACCAACATCTTCATCTGCGTTGACGAACAAGAGTTCTTCTGCTTCCATCCATTACCGGTTCGTCTCAGAGTATAAAGCATGCATGATGTGTGCTACGTCCTTGATGATCTTGGCAGTGGACTTCCCCTCCATGTTTCCACGCCGCTTTTCCAAGGTGATGCACCAGGGCTACTCGCCGATGGACCTTGGGGTTGGTAGCTTCGTTTTCGCCAACGGCCTAATTTCCGGCAGTGGCAAGCAAACAGCGCTGTTGAGAAATATGGAAAGACGTACTAGTCCGACAAGCCCGTGGAAAAAGCGAGCGCAGACACATTTGCCGCTGATTATCCTGGGATTTGGTCGTTTTTTCTGGGTGTGGGGAATGGCGCATTATGTACCTAATGAAGAGTACGGCGTACACTGGAATTTCTTTTGCACCCTAGCGGTCGTTCGAATATTAGGCGACGGATGGGAAGCATTTCTCGAATCCGTCTATTTCCTCTTGGGTATGAGCGCTACAGCATTAGGAAGAGCAGATGAAATCATACCACAAGAAGAAGAAAGAGCAACACGTGGAGGTAAGGCAAGCAGGAAAAATGTCAAAGCGGTTAGCAGTGTTATGCGTTTTTTCGTTCAAGTCCTGCCAGCACTAGCTGTGTGCGGAGGCTTAGAGATGTGGCTCAATGTGTACGGTGGTCGAGCTTGGATGCTGGCGTCTGACGACATGGTTCCTCGCGACACTTTTCTCACCGCCAATCGTGAGGGCCTGATATCCTGCGTTGGTTTCTTCGGGCTTTACATGGCAGCATCCTCGATCGGGCGTCAAGGCCTGGAGAATTTTGCGTTTTTGCGGTGTGGAATCGCGTCCGGTGCTATTGTTGCATTCGCGCCTGAAACTCCTGCACGTCGGTGTTGCGATCTGCCATATGTCATGCATATTATATCCTGCAATTGCGTGCTCGTGGCAGCGTTGCGAGCGAGGGATGAAATTGCACAAGAAGTTTCCTCTGAGGTTTCTGCTGGAACGGACGAAAACAGTTCTGCTACAGCATCCTCACTCGACGATGGTGCTAAAAACGGAGTTGGAAATGGAACAAGAAGCGACCACCCACGTAAATCACTAGCATCACGAAAACCTCCTCCCAGCTCTAGGAGACAACCCCTGCCGCTTGTGCTAGAAGGTCTACAAGGATCGCAACTTTTCTTCTTTCTGGTGGCCAATCTTCTTACCGGACTTGTCGGGAAACTCTTCTGGACACTTCTGATGCCATTCTGGCACGCTGTAGCCATAATGTTTATATACTCACTAACATGGATGACAGCAGCATACGTCCTGGCAACATATCAAATTAAAGTCAAGTTTTGGTAACTTGCAAACGGCTGGTTTGGCATGGTAAGCGAGTAGTTTTCACAAACTGCACGGGCCTTTTTTCCGGTAGCTTTCACTGCAACTTTTTCATTATGAAAATCGATCTATTTGGCTTCCGTGAGGTGTTCGGTTTTGCGCAAGTAGTCGGATCAATCACGACATACTAGTTGTAATCAGCCAGCGTAAGAGAATCTGTACCGGAGAATAGAGCCATATTTTCGGGGTCTCTTCCACTCGATCTTCCTTCGGGATTCTTATCACCGTGTCCGCGTGCAAATCGATCATGCCGGATCCTAACTCAAAGCGTTCTCTGACTTAGCGCGCACGTCGTCACTCAGATCTGCACAACTAACTACCAAGAAGATGGCTCTTCCGCGACGATCTCATCTTTGTAAGGCGTGGTCATCGCTTAGCGTCACTCTCGAATGAAATCTCTACCACTGTCTTCAAGATTGTGGTAGATCAGTTCCATTTCAATATCGCCCTTTACCCATCCATGCACTCTCAGAGCCAGGGCTTCCTACGTAGTTTCACCTGACATCATCATTCTGTTGTGGTGTCCCTTTTGACATCTTCTTGGTTGTTGTTGTTGTTGTTGTTGTTGTTGTTGTTGTTGTTCTCCTGCTTGAGTCTCGACTGCGTTCTAATTGAAGATGAAGATCCTTTGCTAAAGATTTTCCGAGATTTCTAGTTCACGAGCACTTTCAAAGTTTGTCTAGTCCGTTGATCCAAGTACTGCTGCTGGAGTTACTACTAGCTTCCATAAGTACAATAGTTTTCTTCGAGGATTTCAGCAACTAGTTGGTGATCGATTTTTACTCCATTTTGATTTTCCTTACAACATAACATTGTACATAGATAAGCATAACAAGCAACAAAGGATAATCCAATCGATCCTAAGCAATGGACTGCAGAGAAAGTGAGATCCTTCCAGCCGACGTCGCCGCCTCGTTGTCTGGAGATGCGTTGCAGGAGGTGGAGGCGTTAGCTAGCTTGGTAGATGAGGGCGCGTTGACAGCTGAGAAAGCAATTTTAGAGGGCGGCGATAAAGGTCGTTTTCGAGTCCGGTTACGAGTGGGCGTGCAGCCTTTTCTTCCCTCAGAGCAGCTCGATCTCTTTTCCGGCTCGTTGGACGATGATTCGTACTGCGGGACAGTCCGTAGTCTCCCAGAAATGCAGGTGGAATTATTTTGGGGACCTGGAGCCAAACTAGACGATCGCGAAGTTGAAAATTGGAGTCCAGAACAAGGAGGTGCCTGGTATGCTGGAGATTTGCTTGCAACCTTGTTTCTATCGAGGCCAGATTGTGCACAAGTTCGCGCTGCTTGTGTGGCTGCCGCAGCGGTGGATCCAGAGGAGGCGGAGGACGGCGAGGACTTATTTTATGAGACTACAGGAAGGAGTAGGACAGCGATCGAACCAATCATGTTCGTGTCTCAAGCCCAGACAGCGTGGCACGAAACTTGTGCGGCAGTGGGCGCAGGCAGTGGTCGTACGTCAACTCTGACCGTGGCAGCACGCGCTGTGGCTTTTACGTTGCTGCAGGCGGATAAGCAACAGCGCGAATTCCAATGGAGTCAGCAAACGCACGATTGCGACATCTGTTGCAGCACTGCGCTTCCCGGTATTGACTTCATCAAATTACGCCGCTGTGCACACTTTTTTTGTCGCATTTGCATGTTTGACCTGGTCCGCGTGAACGTCAATGAGGGCAAATTGGACGCGATTCGTTGTATGGGCTGCGATCCGAAAACTGCGGAACCTCTGGACACCACTGACGTGAAAGCCATTATTTTTTCGGGTCTAGATGAAGAGGACGTCTCCGCGTCTCTCAAGCAGCGGCAAGCCTCTTCATCGTCCTCAAACACTGAGCAGGAAACGGAAAGCAACGCGAAAAGATCAAGTGCAGGTACACAACAGCACGCGCTGGACGACGCTTCCAGAATAGACGGAGGCGGGGCCGCGAGCAGCAAATTTGAAGGGTCTACTTCAGTGCCATCGTTGGTTTTGCTGTCGCTTGCTGAGAAATGCGATTTGTTCGAGCGTTTCGAGTTGATGACGCTGAGTAAAGCTTTGGACTCCATGAGTGACATCAAATATTGCCCGCGGTGCAGTCAGAATCCGAACGCTGCGCAGCGTCTAAACGTTCCTGTGGTGGTCGAGGACGGAAACTACTGCTGCTGCCCCCATTGCCGCTTGCAGTTCTGCGCCGTGTGTCTCGATGTCTACCACCCAGGCAGCGAGACGTGTACGAATGAGCCCGGCCTGTCGCAAACTGCGATCCGCGAACAAAACAAGCGCACCCTGCAGGAGCAGCAAAGCTTAAACCTCATCCGCAAAACTAGCAAAAAGTGCCCCCATTGTTATGGCTTCTTCAACCTATTTTTTCACTCTTTTTACTTGACGTTGACAGCTCGACAAGTGCCTTCTACTTCACCAAACACTCTAGCTGTACTTTCATGTAGTACGAACAAATTTTTTCCAAAACAAGTACGCAGAACCTGACACAGAGAAAACGACTTGCTGACGAGTTGCCCCCGCTTGCCTGCGTTACGACCTCATCTAATGTTTCTCTTTCGCGATCCAGAAAACAGCTGGTTGCAATAAAATGCGTTGCGAGAACTGCACGACCAAATTCTGCTGGGTTTGCTTGGAGGTAATTGACGACTACGAGCATTTCAGGAACAATGAAAAGTGCGTGCTCTTTGATGAGGAAGCCATACGAGACTGGGAGCGCGAAGTGCAGGCCGCGGGCGCTGTGCACCGAATTGACGGCGGCGACCCCCACGGCCAGGAGGCGGAACAAGTTCGCTGCAGGCTGTGTGGCCACCAAAACGTGCGATGGCGAGCACTGGGAGGCGACCTCGGCAATGGCGACGGGGTTCCGCGAGATCCAGGGGATGAAGGAGGTGAGCGAGCTCCGAGAGTCAGAGTTTATAGACGAAACAATCACTTGAGGTGCCAAGTCTGTGCGCAACATTCATGTCTCGTATGCAGGCGGCGCATCAACGAACGCCCCATCACCGCGCATTTTCGACCTCGCGGCGCTTGCGAGCAATTTAGCATGATTGAGCATGTGGTTGGGTAGCAGCACAGGAACGGAGACCTGCATCGCGTGCGAAGTGGAGCAGCGTCATCTCTGTCGTGTTGTAATGGACGATATGGATATTACGATTACGAATAACTTAATTAATATGTGTTCTACTAGGTACTCGAGGGTCAAATAAATTAAGTGTGGAGGTTCTTGTAGTACCTCGCTTTGCACAGTACTAGATTTGTTTTTTCACTGGAGGTGCCTCTCGTTCTACTTTTACTCCCAATTGTTGTTCACCCTCCCGTTGCCGATTCACTTCCCGTTAGCCTTTTATATTTTCCCTGTGTTTTCTTCCTTTATTCGTTCTTTACCTACATTTTTCTTAGAACGATTGAATTCGCAAAAATGCCAGAGACCGTTTAGCTTGACCGTCTTGGGAAGTCGAGGCCGAGTAGATTTTGGGCGGTATCATGAGCTAGCGTGAGTTGGACTGTGTTCTCGCTGGAATTTATGCGGACCTCAATCTCAGATCTTGTTATTTTTAATACAGAACAACTGCACCTGCACGATCGGGTGACACGCGCACATTCCTAGAGGGTATTTTCAATTGGTCCGTGATCTCGAAAATATGGTGGAACGAGAGTTACGAGTGGTGCGAGGAACATGTGCGAGCGAAATATATCAGGTTATCAATTTTAGAGTTTCTGCGAGCGAAATATATCCGGTTATCAGATAGCTGGCGGAACGAGAGTTGTTTCCTAAGAGTTGCGACACCGAAATCGTCAAACTTTTTTTTTAGGTCGTCGTCGATTAGCAAGAACAAAACCATGGTCGCGTCTAAGGAAAGTGCTGCTCCCAACAATGTGGTGCGCATCAGCATGCAGCAAAATGCGGCTTTCTACACACGTGCCGCAACCGACTTTCTTCATGGTGTGAAGGGAAAAGATGTATGCATGGTGGCAATTCTGAGTCTCTAGTTTACTTTCTTGTTTCGAATCTAGTATTTATTTTTTCAAGTGAGCTGGCACCCATGAGTGGGGGCAAGTTGTTTAGGAAAACTACTGAGAGCACCGCTCTCCTTTGAGGAGAGTGGACCTCATGGGCCGAAGTAGCCCTAATACGCGTATTAGACATACTTTAACTTTAGAACTACTTTAATTTAGATTATTTTAACACCTCCTCCTCAATCAAAAAGAACTTGTAGGACAATCAATGCTTTTTAGGACAACATGACTGGGTGTAGTTTAACAAAATCGACCCGATTCGTATCTTCAACTAATGCCAAACATCAAAAAATGAAGGCTTCTCTGTCAATTCTGACTTTCCACTGCTGTGCAGCAGCTCTGAGTTCTAGGCTCCGTGTGTTTTCTATCCGTTGTTAAAAGAATTACATTTCCTTTGGTCTTCCTCGGTCTATCTCACTATTTTTTCAAGTGGTATTCATGTCCAAAGAAAGAGTTTGATTAGCATTGACAATCCTTTCATCGATTAAGTAGACAACACTGGTACTAACTTGTTGTACTACACTACTCTTGTTTGTAATATTTATTACTTCGACTTTTCGTAAGAAGTGATTGATTTATTGCTATATCAGTTGTAGTAGTGATATCCTAGTAAGCCTTCTTGTCTTCCTTTTTCATAAGAAGACAGCGCGAAGCCGATCTACGATGAGGTTGTCCTGTGCGCTTTGGGGGCGGCGATTCCATCTTGCGCAACGGTGTTAGCGTTGTTGGAAAAAAGAGGGGTAAAAAGCGTGAATATGCTTTGCGCGAGTTGTACAACGTTCGATGTCATCGAATCCTGCAACTTTCATTTTCCGTTACTCTGTTATTCTCTATGATAATAAATTGATACCAGCTTTATTGGTGTTGCTGACTAGGATCAATGTGTGCTCCTCCTTCATCTGCGTCTCCTCGTCTGTCTCAGGTTGCAACGCTCACGAAGACACAAACGGGATACGCGAAAATCGACTACGGTTCTCGGCCGCAACTTCTCGTCACGGTGAAGCGAAGTCCCGACTATGTTCGTCCTGAACCGAAAGGCAAAAAGGGGGCTCTTCAGACACCACCGTGTCCGGAGCGATTGCAGACGGAAAAGCTCGAAAAAAAGATGAAGAAAGTTTTGAAAGAAGGAGGCAAACGCGGTGTGGAAATCGAAGGAGCCGCAGATATGGGAGGCCTCAAATATTTCTGCACTAAAGTGCTCGAGCCGGCAGGAGACCTGGATATGTTGGTAAACTACCTGCTGGAGTTTGAGTATGGTTAGCGCCATGGGGCGGCCTCCGTTGCACTGTGGAAGATTTTCCTCAAACTTGACCAGGGAGGGTTTGGCCTGAAGTACATGACCATGACTACTTTGTTTAATGTGTTACAACTGCAAGTGTAGAGAAATAGGAACTAATAAGTGAGAACTCCATTGCCCCTCGATTACAGGTGGAGTCCGTGAAAGCGATGAATGCGAAGTGCGATCCCAGTGAGGAGGAGCGCAAGGGTGGCAGCGGGAACATTGGCAAGACAGTGCTATCGATGGCCGACGACGACAATTATGGACCTCTATAAGTAAACACTGCGCAAAAACGGCCAATATTGTCTTCTCCTAGTCGCGGAAGTGGTCCGCTTGGCGATGCTTGTAGGTTGGTTTTTGTGTGTTTTGCCTTTCTTTCATGTGTTTCCCCGCGCCCCTCCAGAGTCCAAGACAGTAGGCGGCAGATGTTTGCCGTGGGATTCTGGAGGGGCGCGGGGCTTTGCAGCGTGCCTGAGGTTCTTTGCTCACAATAGTGGGAGGGTTTTCCTCGAAGGAGCTCAATGGGCGGCGAGTGTTCTCCGGATTCTTATCGTGATTGGAAAGATTGAGCACCGTTCAAGTTTTTGCCGTCCTTTTCTGAATTTTCTCCAGTCAAACGACCCCACTTGTCTGTGGTCAAGTTTTTCGCTGTAATCGGAAAGGTTTGAGGCCCTTCGCCTCTGGTTCTCTGCTCTTGGGCTCTTTCGTCTTGTTCAGTGTGGGACTAGTGACCACCCGGCGACCCGAGGTTCTTGCGCCGGGTGGCCCCTTGGGTCGAATGCGTCTCGTTATTGTGTACAGGACTCCCCGCTGGAGTCGTGTTTTTGCTTTTTCAGCAAAGACATGACTTCGACGGGGAGCCCTGTACACAATAGCGGCGCTTATTTCATTCCCGTGCCCACTTCTGTTCTGAGAGGGTCAGGCGAATGCCGGAGAGCACTGCCAAGGGAAGGAGCGCGCGAGAGATAAGGAAAGGGGCCCGCGGCTCTGTTTTTTTTTTGCTAAGTTTCGATGGTGTGCCGTGTCTCGCCTGCCCTCTGTGTCTCCGCTTGGGGGCGCTCGATTGGAATGGCGCTGAGTCGGCTAAACACTGCACAAGCACAAAAACGGCCAGTGTTGTCTCCTCTCTTAGTCGCTTAGCGATGCTTTTAACTTGGTTTCTGTCGGTTTTTGTGTGTTTTGCTTTTCTTTCTTGCGTTTTCCTGCTTCAAGACAATAAGTAGGCGGAAAATGTTTGCTGTGGGATTCTGGAGGGGCGCGGGGCTTTGCAGCGTGCCGGAGGTTCTCCGCTCACAATTGTGCGAGGGTTTTCCTTGAGGGGTCTCAATAGGCGACGAGTGTTCTCCGGATCCTCATCGTGCCTGGAAGGGTTGCGTACTGTTTTGCCCCTGTCCGGATTTTTGCAGTCCTTTTTTGCATTTTCTCCAGCGAAGGCCTCTACTTGTTTCAGTTTTTACATTTTTTTTTGTAGTCGTTTTTTTCTGGGTCCTTCGCCGCAGGTACTAGTACTAGTAGGAGATGTAGAATTGTGCTTTCGATTGCTCTCAGTCTCAACAGGGTCATCAGAAAGAAACAAGTACAACTACAATTAGCATCTTCTAAGAGAGTCTTTGTATCTGTTGCTACGTTCCTGAAATGGAACAGAGCGACTGCAATGCGAAAGATTGGCTTTTTGCGATCGTGGAGCGTTTGGGAGCCAAGAGCGCCAATCTGCGTGAAGATTCGTCTTCATTTTACTTATGAATGGATGAGTGAAGTCGATTTTAGTAGACATAGTTCAACAGATTGCTTGTGAAGTTAAGCATTGAATTAGCTCTTCTGCTCGTCCTTCAGCATCACAGCAAGTAATAGATTGTTTCTACAAGAAATCATGTCGTGGCGCCATACCTCTAATCCGTGCACAAATCTGCATTTCGAATGACGGGGAGAAAGGAATTTTCGCAATCAAGATGCGAGACTACGTTATCCAGCACGCAAACGCGTGGTTACGCGAGAAAGGCCTCCTTCCGGATGTAGAGGATGAGTCAGACGATGACATGGTTTTCGGCGACGACGATTTTCCATGATCATGCCAAATTACAACTAATAAATTGGTAATGATACCCATACTACTTTTTATGTTGATCTTCTTTTTATTCTTTCAAGGGGCAGCAGAAGTAGAAAGAACTTACTTGATGTGTAGGAATAATACGCATACGACACAACTATCTTCATCAAGCTCCTTAAATATGCAGGAAACGCTAATACGCTGTCTACTTGCTAGGCCACCACGGATTAGACCGTAAGTGCTACAAATATGCTAGCTTCATGTAGTACCTGAAAATATCTTTCACATCTAACATCAGGTCATAGCTAACATAAGTAAAGCAACCGGCTAGCTTTCCCTCTACTCGTTGACTTATCCCTTGTTCAAGCAATATATTATAAATATCTAACGAAAGCATCGCAATTGCGTCACTGCGTTGCGGTCACAAACACAGCAGTTCATCAATCAATGGATCTTCAATCGTGAAAGGAGATAGCATACAAGAACCGCGCTATATTAATGGTGTTGGTTTGATACGGTTCGTATTCTTCATGGTCCGGCAACGAAATATCGAAAGAAATATAATGATTCTCACCACGGGGAGCCTCCTTGAGATTGATCATATGACGGCAAATCTATTTTTGGACTTGATTCGACCCCTCTGAAGATGTAATGAAGAGCAAAACACTTGAGTATATTAAGATCAACTCCACCCTATTATTTCCGATTCCGATCGGATTATTGCCACCGCATCGTTGCTTCTCTCCAATACCGATTATTTATTTTAGTTTTACGACGAAGATGATGATTTTTTCAATTTTCTGTGACTCCTCTAAGTCACTGTCACAACAATGATTATCCGATGGGGAAACCTTTTTTGCGCGCAGCCGTCGTGCGACCAAGTTGTACTGAGATCTACACTGTGATGTTCCTTGCGGGTCCTCCTCATACACAACATAGATCTTTATTGCGATGTTCATTTCATGGTGTAAATTTCTGTACCAAAGTTGGTTCTGTTGTTGCTTGTACGGTGGACTAGTTCGCATCCAGTATAATTGAGGCTTTCCTGGCCGCTGGGGTCTTCATCTTCAAGGTCACTGAAGGTCTTCTCTTTATGATGAAGAAAACAGCACTGACCCGTCTCAAAGAATCCTGAAAGTTAAATTAGCCATGATGATGATTTCAGTGATCACGTCGCTTGTAGAAGCAACTTGTTGATTTCCGCTAAGTACTTTCAGATGCGACTTGAACTTCATGCGAACGTAGGAAACCATCAATGTTGGTTTTCAAATCATGCACAAAGCCTTTGCAAGGATATCACCTACAGAAAAGTCATAGCATCTGCATGAACTACCTCTACTTTATCATTCATGACTGCTCACATCGAAAATCAAATACGCTTAGTAAGCGTGTTGTATTTGTGTAGTAAAGGACATTTCACATTTGTTGATTTTTACTCGGTCTGCGAGTCGGATTCGGTTTTGACGCTGAAGATCGTTAACTGAGTTACATACTGAATAAAATCTCTCCTATGAACGAAGACTCTACCAAAAGGATCCCTCAGCGGTCTGCCTAACCTTCGGCATCTCTCCTACTGGTTTCGCATCTTGTTTCCGCAACTTTCTATTTGTTTCTTTCTCGGCTGGTCTCTCTAGTTTCAACTGTTATCTCAGTCTGCAGGCTAGCTGTGTCAGTCACTAGTTTTCTCGTTTAAGTGTTTAGCCTTCTGCTGAACAATAGAGCCTTTTGCTCCCTTCACTACTCTTTTTTTCTTTTTCTGTGCGTCTGTGAAATGCTTGCTCTCGCATCTCTCTGCGCCCACCCCTGCTGGTGCGTCGAACAACTCGCCACGACTCAACAAACGCATCCGGGAAGGCAAGCCGGAACAGGATGAAAAAGACTAATTATTTAGTTGGGATGATTCGAAGAAGTCCTTCCTTGACACGTGAAGCAAGTGCGTAAATTTAGGCTGATGGTTAGGCGATGGCGTAGACGAATGAGAATGAAAATGCGAAGCAATAGCACCATGGAGAGTGATCAGCTTTCTGCAGAGTCTACACTTTGGAGCCACGGCGGATGAAATATGATCCTCAACTCCTATCTCGATCCAATCAATCAGTAGGCTTACCATGTGCTCTTATACATCTGACCTCCCTGAGTTGCCACATGATGAGTTAGCGCAAGTGAGAGAGACAAAAACGCAGGCAACTTCCTGGTGTCTCCAAAGTGTGAAAATGCGCATAGCCTGAGGCAGACAGCTCTCTGCATACTCTTAGAGCTGATCCTGATGAAATCGATGGCGCAAAGTATGTAAGTGTGTAACTTGTAGCGTGAAGTATAGGAGGTTAATTTACTCCCACCGTCGCCGGGTAGCTTCCTGGAAAAAATGTGGGTCATCCTTTCAATAAGTATACCATCCACCATAACCCTCCTCGAAAAGCTTGTAATTGTAACAGCGTGAGCGTAATTCTATGCATGTCTTGTACTTGAGCAGTAAACTAATAATTTGATCTACTTTATCTTAAGCTTATAGCGGTATTGAATGGCGAAAGTGCCCTGAATGAGTTGCGATATCTCTGTGGTATGAAAATCTGCTGCACTCATGTCTCTTTTTTACAGAGTGCGTCGTGTAAGATCAATTGGGATTTTTATTGTTCAAATTATCGTGAAGTAGGTACGTAGAACCATATCAAAAAGAAGAAGAACAAGTCAACTAGAAGTGCTGTGTATCTGTGTGCATGAACAAGAAGATGGTTGCCTATTTCGGCCTTTGGTTTCTTGCTGCTGTTGTGGGCCGTGCAGTGGTTGCAGCACCGCCAACAGCATTGCGCCCGAAATTGGCAAGCAGCGGCCAAAAGGCCTCGTCTGGAGCGACACCTCAAGTAAACCTAAACGAGGGCGGCAAAACGAAAAGGAGAGCGAAAAACGCAACTTCATCAAGATCTAAAGCGTTTTTAAAAACTAAAACTCCATCTACTTCCGCAGACCATGATCCCATCAAGCAGGATGGCAAAAAGAATACGACGCTACAACTTCCGGCACGAGGCAGCATCGATGTAGCGTCTTCTCGTCATGAAGACATAGTCCTGCCAAACACGTCGCGCGAAGACCCAGAGCGTAGCCATCCGGATGGTAGATCTCAACTTTGCGAAGACATCGAAGGTGTATGGCTAAGCTGGTTTGAGTGAGTGTTGACCTAGAAGGAACATGATCGGCATTCGCTTGGGGGCCGCGCATCCTACACGCGGCGCCATCGTTACAAGATGGCACTGCACTTCCGCACTCGGGTTCTCATTCTGATTCTCATTCTCATTCTCAAGTGCACTACGCACTTTCACTCCCACCCTCTCCGCCCTCGTTTAGCAGCGACCTCAAACACGAGGGAGCAGCGACTGCGTCGGCACGAGTCTACGAATCGCTTCTCCGTATTTTCATTCAGATTCACACTTCGCTTCTCTTTCGTTTCTCTTTCGCTTCGCTCATGCACCTACTTATTATTTCAGTCCCTTACTCCCCCGATGCTCACAGCCAGTCTGCTGATCCCTATGCTATATTCTCACGAACTCTTCTATTTTTGCCGCATGGGTGATCTCATAAAGTAGATAGCATTCTGGCTTGTGGGCTAGTCGGGAGTACTGGCGACCGCAGGCAAAGCCAATTCCCCTCACACTAGTGCTCCTTCATTACTAGACTTGAGCGCCCGGCAGCGCTCCTCCCGCTAGAGTCCTCCACTCTCTACACGCGCTCCCTCTGTCCTGGCGTGCTTCCGCTTCCCCGGCTCCTTCTCCGCCCGGCAACCGTCTGGGGGAGTTGGTCGGCGGGACAGGAGTCGGCGCTGACATTGAAAAGAAATGGCTCGACCTCGAAACCATTTGCCCGCAAGTTTACTTTTCTTCTGTTAAGTTTGGCCTGCTTTGAGCGAAAGTTGAAACTTTCGAACTTGAAACTTTTTTAATTCATTGTCTCTGGATCAAATTAAAAGTATTGGACTTGGAAGTTTTTAAGATTTATTATCTTCCTTCGATAAAATCAAAAATTTAGGATGCAAAGTTTCAAACTCAAAACTTAGAAAACATCGACGCTGCAGATTGGTGCGATTGGAGGCAAAACGTGCGCCGTCGGTGACATTCATCGGGGGCATGATGATCTTTTGCGGCGTATTTGCAACGAAATTTTTTTGAAGTTTCTGCTCGTTGATAAAGTCGAAAATTGTGAGTGTTAAGTATATTTATAAATTTCAAAAGTTGCAAACTTGGAGTCGCAGAATCCGTATATTTTTGTTTATCGCCTAGAATTACGCTTAAAGCTTCTAGCTGCTTAAATGTTTACCATGCCATCCATGGGCCATGATGGCTCGTGCGTTCATGGGCTCATGAGTTAGCTCGTGAGCCCATAAGTGCAGAAGTTCTTAAGTTCGTAAGTTCATGGGTTCACGTGTTTGTTGTTGCAGTGTTTTTGGTTCAAGTGTTTTCGGTGCAAGTGCTTTTGTTTCGGGTGTTTTTGGGTCAAGTGTTTTCGCTTCAAGTGTTTCTGGTTCCAGTGTTCTTGGTTCGAGTGTGGTTGGTTCGGAAGGTGGAAGGGATAGGGACGCTGTTGATCTTTGTTTAGCTCTTTAATATTCTCTCGGTCAAGTTAAATGATGAGAAAAAGCGTCTGTCTTTGATCACGGAATTGAGAAATTTTCAGAATCATACATAGGTATGCTGGGAAAATTGAGCGAAATCCACAGTGTGAAGAAGAAGGTTTGGCTGGTTTTGGCGGGTGCTTCAGGCAAGCGCATATTTAATGTTCTCAGGTTTTTGATAAAGGGACTGTCAACGAGGAAATGCTCTCAATAATGAATATTCAACGACCACCGACATGATGGATTGCTTTTGATTCTCGAGTGCTTTTCTAAGTTAGACGGGATGCGACAGAAGCATGACGGGTGTCGCTACGAAAGCTTCAGCGTGGGACCAAGCTCTGGATCAAAAGACAAGGGAGGCGCGTCCCTGGTCGACAGAGAAAGTAGCTCTTTTTGTATCCCTTGCTGAAAGCGATCGGTCAGAAAGACAGAAACGGGAGAAGCTCAAAAAACAATACGACGAAATGCTGGCAGAGCAGGCCAGAAATTTGGCGCAGGAGCAAGAAGACAAAGAAGCTGCTGCAGCAAGTTGTAACTTCTTATGAATTATCAATACAGGAGTGGCGTAAACGAAGTTAGTACGTCTTGCTAGAGTTTCTTCTGCAGGTACGAAGCACGTTTTCTCGTTATAGATGATGAACACATACCTTCACCGAAAAAAACTGAGACGGCCCTTTTGCCGATTTATTTTTAGCACCCTTCATGTTTGTCCTCGCAGATGGGCGGCATGCTTGCTGGGGCTCCTTGGCCACAATTTGGCTTCCCATTTGCGAATGGAACTGCGTCAATGCCACTACCGTACTACGCCATGGCCGATCAGGATTGTACGACAGGGTTTGCGTTACCGCCACCTTGTGTACCCGTTGAGGCAGCAGGAGCTGGGTCTTCCTTTAGCTGGAGCGGAATGGAGCAGAGCTCTCCTTCAGTGAGTGGCATCAATTTCGCTGAGAGCGTGACATCGCCGACTCAGGTCTTTTCACTTCCTTGGTGCGACCCGTCGTCGTCCGACGCAGGGTCTCCTCTTGATTGGCAGCGTCTCGTTCCGATGCCTCAGATTGAGTTACGAGGAAGATGAATCAGGCGACTTTATTTACTTCCAGAGCAAGTATACATACATAGTCGTAGTTTATTTTCCTCATGTATCCCAACAAGCTAGTCCCGCATTGCAATATATAGTCGTACAAATGTTTAGCCAGAGAAAGTAGATTCCGGTTTTTTCATCACCACATACGTATTAATCACATGCGCATAGTAACTTATCAAGTATTTCTGTTTCTTGGAGCAAGACAAGAAGTTTTTTTTACGTTGCTCTTGTCCTAGATGAATCATGACATCTCTAATCTCGGTGCGGAAATCTCTCACGCCGCTAGTACCGCAGTCGAAGGAAGAGAAAAAAGAAGCCATGGAAGCTGAGAGAAGACGGAAAGACGAGGAGCGCAACCAAGCCATACAGAGACGAAAAGCACTTGAAAACATGCAACGAATGCAAGAAGTTCTCATGGTTACAACTGGTTGTTCTGCAAAATCTGAAGCATCAGACATCGGCGGCGGTCCCTTAAGCTCGGCAGGTGCTTCTTACAGAAATCGTGACTATGGCCCTTTTTAGGATTGTTTATGTACTAGTAAGTCTCGCATGACAGGATGTAAGTCTTTTTGTTTGGACAAAAGTTTACTCTTCCAAGTGTCAATGTGTATCATGTTCATCATCACTTAGTAGTTACTTTTCCATAATGCGGCTGCGGATGTTTCTTTTAAAAATTTGTCGAATGGAAATGAATCAGGTTCAGTGTCTTCACCCTACGTCGCAGCTTGTGCCTCCTCTGCTTCTGCATCTGTTGCTTGGAGCAGCCGTGTCGAGCAACCAACAGTCGCAGTGCCTGATGTGATGGTATTTTTCAACATGAAGATATTCACTTGATTTTCATCTGTGATGACTACAACTAGTAGTACCGCTTCTACGTATAACTCCTTCGATGTTCCTGCACAACCGAAGTAGATTTGCTTACATGCAAGAAGATGCCTTGAGAGTTCTTACAGTCAGCGTCTCGTAGAAAGCAGCGCTACTTGTTCAAGAAATGTTGATAGTAGATACCACAAGAACAAGCATCGAACTCAATGATATCACAGGGACAGCATGGGTTCCATTCTGTGGATCCGGACCCGAGTGGTCCTTATTGGACAATGGTGCCAGTCGCAGTTCCTTATTCCAGTCTTCGTAATTTTGATGCGTGGATGAAGATGGCACCTCTACATCCTTGCGGAAGCCCCTCGCTTGGCAACTTGGTACCGGATTTCCGACAGATGACCTGCGATCCGCAACCTCCTAATGAAGTTCTGGCGCAGCCACCACAGCAGGAAGATCCTCTATTAGCACCAGAAGGTGGAGGTAACAGTAACTCGAACGTTTTCCATGCTAGTAGTGGTTGTTTGTCTGGTGCACCATTTAGAACACAAGTGGAGCACCAGCAAGAACCGCTTTTATCTGAAGCAACGTCGGAGCAAACAAAGATGACCACCTCCGATGAAGCCCAGCAGACTCTTCTTTCATCTGACGATGTGGTGGATGAGGTTGAGGATAAAGATAATGCCGTCTGTGTATTTAGGCTTGTTGATCTGAATCATGGTGGATCTTCAACGGAGCAACTTCTACCTGGTGAAGAAGAGGAGAAGGGACAACCCAAAGGTATCCTCACCCCTGATAATCTGGACGACTTGTGTGATCAATATAGACCTTCACCTACACTTGCATCGCTGGGCAACATCCCTGTTGTGTGGTCTTCGCCTTCTTCCGCAGCGCTGTCGACTCTTCCAAGTTGCGCCTCACCAGAATCTTCGGTAAAATTTTTGCGTCAGTATATTCCTGAACATTCTCATTGTTCTCTTTTGTTTTCTCGATGATGTGCCTGTAGATGGATCTTTCGAACACGTTGCCATGTCGGTTTTTCACATATATGGTTGACCTGCTCATGTACTGAAAAGGTGGCCGGGTCGGAGTCAATAGCGGGGATTCGCGCGAATATTCACGGCGAGCCACTTACGCAGGACCAGAAAGATCTGCTTGAACACGAAAGGAAATGGGCTCAGTTCCTCTATGAACACACACGCGCAGGTGAAGCATATCAGAAGCAAAAACAGGGAGAGGGGTGGACGTGGAAGAGCAGACCTGTCGGTCAGAGCAGCTTTTAAGATATCATACTTATACTAGGTTTTACTCAGTGCATTACTAGCCAACTAAGAAGTTGCGGCTTTTGTATATAATGTTTGAACTTGAGTTTGAGTATGATTTCTCTGATTGAATATGACAGCCCATGCAGCTACTTTTGCAATCTACGAGTGAATGTAAGCCAATGTGTGTAGTTCTCCAATTATGCTACTGTTTAGTGTTGCTTTTGTCTACAGTCTTCACGTGTATATAGACGTGTTGGGTTTCGTCGGTCTACGAGTTGATCATCCCTGCTTTGGAATCGGTGAGCAAAGGCATGCCAGCCTTGGGGCTGTCTGTGATCGTTTAGAGGGTGGCTCCTTTTTACGCGAGACACCGGGAGTCCTGATCGCAGGGGGTGCTCATGATCAGGACCCTGACCCTTCCTGCCCGTTGTGGGTATGCTCATCGGTGACCTTTCATCTTATCATCTTATTACCTCCGATCATCCCACTTCCCTACCTCCAATGTTTCCCTTCCGAATTTCACAAAGTCAAACTTTAGGAAGCGTTCAAGAGTAATTGACTTCTGTTGGTGAGGTTTTTAATACCGATTGACTAGCCTCCACAAGCTTCGCCCGGCTTCAAGTTAGTTTAGCACTTTTCTGCGGCCTCCCACGGGCTACAGCCGCTAGAGTAGAGACAGCCCGCGGGTGAGCTGTTGCACCTTACGAATTGACTACGACAAGAGCCGAGTGCCGGCGGTGGCCGACTCAGATGCGTCGACTCATGTGCAGGGCATTGCGCTGCCTTCGGTTCTTTTTTGAGATTGCCGGGCGGGTCATGCAAATTCTTAAGAATTTGCAAGACCCCCACGGCATTCCAACAAAAAAACCAGAAGAGAGCCACCAGACACGCACAAGAATCCGCAAGCCCCAACGCACGCAAGCGCCTCGCGGTGGCGCCAGACAAGAACGTGGGGCGACCTTGATGGGCCAAACAAGACAAAGCAACGCAGGGCCGCGCTGCTTGGGTCTCTCTACGCGCTTACACCTGGCGGGGCTTCTTTGTTTCGTCAGATGTCTCTCGTCAGAAACAGACGGGCGCACTTCGCGGGGTCGTGCGGCGTCGCGCTTCGGGCTGTGGCTGAAGCCTCTCGGCTGGCTGACGTCTTTCATCAAGCTGGAGACTAAGGCCCTCCATCAGGCTGATGCCGTTCGTCAGACCAACGCTCTGCGCCAGGCTGGCGGCGTTCGTCAGGCAGGCCGGCGCCCCTCGGCAGGCGTCTTGGGTCAGGCTGAGGCTTTTCGTCAGGGTCGGGCGACGTCTCTCGTCAGGCTGAAGCGCTTCGCCTGGCTGACATTCCTCGCCGGGCCGAGACTCACGCCTTTGGTCAGGTTGATGGCTTGCTTCAGCTCGGCGCCGTTCGTCAGGCTGATGCACTCGCCAGCCAGGTGAGGCCTCTCGCCAGACCGGCGCAATGCTTCGCCAGGCGTCTGCCTTGCGTCGGAACAGGCTGAGCGGGGCCTTTCTTCGGGCTGCGCATGTCTTTCCTTCGTAAGATTGATTTCGTTCTTTCGTCGGACTGACGTGCTTCGTTCGCCAGATTGACCGCGTTCGCCGGACTGACGTCCTTCGCGAAAGTAGGTCTTCGCTATCTTCAAGGGCCTCGCGCCACAGGGAGGCCTCGCGTCAGTTTTTCTGGCGGAGGTCGTTCGTCAGGTGTCTGCTGTCGCGGGTCTCACTCTTTTCTTGTCGGAGGTCTTGGGCCCAAAGGTCGTCTTTGGTCCACAGGTCGCCGGTGGTCCACAGGTCGCCTGTCGCCCAAAGGTCGCCTGTGGCCCAAAGGTCGTCTTCGGTCCAAAGGTCGGCTTTGGTCCAAAGGTCGTCTGTGGTCCAGAGGTCTTTTTTGGTCCAGCGGTCGTCTTTGGTCCAAAGGTCGCCTTACTTTGGTCCAAAGGTCGCCCTACTTTGGTCCAAAGGTCGCCCTACTTTGGTCCAGAGGTCGAAGAGTCGCCTTACTTTGGTCCAAAAGTCGCCCTACTTTGGTCCAGAGGTCGGCGCACTTTGGTCCAAAGGTCGGCTTACTTTGGTCCAAAGGTCGGCTTACTTTGGTCCAAAGGTCGCCTTACTCAGGTCCAAAGGTCGCCTTACTTTGGTCCAAAGGTCACCTTACTTTGGTCCAAAGGTCGCCTTACTTTGGTCCAGAGGTCGCCGCACTTTGGTCCAGAGGTCACCTGTGGTCCCGCGGTCGTCTTCGGTCCCAAGGTCGTCTTTGGTTTCAAGGTCGTCTTTGGTCCCAGTGTCGTCTGAAGTCCCAAGGTCTCCTGTGGTCCAGAGGTCGCCTGTGGTCCAAAGGTCGCCCCTGGGTCAAAGATCGCCTTTGGGCCAAAGATCGGCGTTGGGTCAAAGATCGCCTGTGCTCCAAAGGTCGTCCAAAGGTCGCCTTTAGTCCGAAGATCGCCCTTGGTCCAACGATCGCCCTTGGTCCAAAGATCGTCTTTGGTCCAAAGATCGGCTTTGGTCCATGTGTCTTTGGTCCAAGGTCTTTGCCCTTTCGGCGGGCGGTCTTTCGTTGGCTGTCTCTCTTTGGACTTTTCTCCCCAGCTTGCGCCCCCACCCCCGTCGGCCATTTTTCTGCCTTCTTTTCTGGTGGTCTGCCACGGGGCCGCAACGTAAATCCCAAAAAGGAAACGGCCGGAGGCTATCGGGCTTGAGACTGAGGGGAAAGGGCAGGAGGCTATGGGCAATAGCTTCGCGAAAGAAGCTGACTAATCTCCGGTGGGTTAGGCGGGGAGTTTTATGGCGGCGATCAATGGCGAGATTAATAATATAGATTAATAGCCTGTTCCTCAGGAACCTCCTGGCCTCTGCTTACCCTCGCAGGCTGGAGGTCTCCGGGGTAAAAGGGCGCCGAAGGCGGCCACGGTCTCAAGAGCAAGCAAGCCGATGACCAAGGGCCCGGAGGGTGCAGGCCGCACGGCTTAGGGGGTCCAGCCCCTCGCCTTTTGCCGCCTTCGGAGGCCTTCCACACCTCGGGCGCATTTATGGCACAAGCAGGCAGCTGGCAGGGGGCGGAGGCGGTCCCTTGCGCCCCTCTTGAAGCCTTCCACCTACATCGGAGGGCTGTAGGGTACAGCCAGGCAGCTGGAAGGGAGCGGAGACGAAGGTCCCCTGGGCCCCTTTTGAGGCCTTCCACCCCCGGCAGACGGCTTCCGAAAGGGTCCGGGGCTACCGGTGCGCCCCCTGCGCTAGGGGGGGCGCCGTAGCCCTGCGCCCTGGGTCATATATAAAGATGCAACACTTTTATGATAGTCGATAGAGTAGTTTATAGACGGTGGGAAGGTGGGCACGGTGGGCGACGCTGGGCCGCTGGGCGGCCACGCTTGGCACGGTGGGCGGACCCTTGGCACACATGGGGGGCACGCTGGGCGCGTATAGCGTTGCCCCGCTGCTTCCGCCAATGTACAAGGTCGGAGTCGAGGGCGGCGCGGCGCTGTGCTCCTTTGCGGAGTGGCCACGTTCTCGCAGGTTGCGGCGCTTCGCTGCTGTATGCAGTGCCGCCTGGGTGTGCAGAGTGCGGCGCAGCGCTGCAGTGTGCCCCAGTGCTCTGCGGCAATGTGCGGCCAGTTCTGCTGAGGGATATTCCCAGGCGGGCCAGTAGGTGGGCGCCCCGATTCGTATGCAGATTGCTGCGGATCCAGGGCGCATGCGCTTACTCTGCCGGGGGGCTTCAGAAATGGGCGCCCGGACGGCGCCCTGATTTATTTTTGACCCCAAGTCTCACGGTGGGCGCACGGTGGGCGACATCTTCCGCAGAAGACCCACTTTTGGGCCGCGCCAAGCGTGCCCACCGATCCAATCCTGGAGAGGGAATAAACTTTCCTGTTATGATATTTCTATTTGGAGGTGCATTATAACGATTGGAGGCGCATTATAACGATCAGAATCATTGCTCTGTCGTGATTTGGATCGTCGTGTGGGCCTTTCCCTACCGAGATCCCTGGAGGCAGACCTTCAACGTAGCTAATTACTTAAGTTAATTTGTAAAGTTATTTTGCGTTTTTCGCATAACAAGAATTTGCAATCTATCATGGTTGACACTTCGTCTTCTTCTAAAAAATTTTACACGGTAGAAGGCGCACAGACAGCGATGAGAGCGGCGCGCCATCTTCAACCACGGAGGAACGCGTCCGTGCCAGTACCACCAGTGGCGCAGGTGCAGACAGCATCATCCCTGTCAGAAGTTCTTGCTCCGATATTACCAAGCGCTGCACTACCATCACAACCGCCAGAGCTAGCAGTAGTAGGAGTTCGTCTGGTGATGCTGGGCGTCCCAGTATGGAAGTAGACGAGTTCGAAAAGATCAGTAGCAGCCCTGTGAGCAACGGGAGCGACGATGCAAGCGCGACAGATGATTCCGGGCTACGTGCGTTTGTGAAATGGCGCGCTCCGCAACTTGCTGCGGCCCCTCCTACGGAGCCGATGAAGGTCAAGACGGCCGCATGGGCTGATCTCAACCCTGTGGAAGAGGAGCAGAAAGTAGCAGGCACGAGTGGCGACGACTTGTCTTGTCTTCCTACGAAGACAGGCCGGCAGACAGTTGACAGTATGACTAACAAACCACCGCGCTTTTTTTTTATTTTTAGGAGTGAACACCCACGAGGATAGATTTTCAATTTGTCACTGCCACATTGAATAACCCGTACCGTTCAAAGATGGGCCAGAACCTTCTACTCTCCAATTTTTCGTTAGATATTTACAATTTGAATTTGTGAGTTTCTGTACAATTTTCAACGATCTTATGGACTTCTACTTGTTTCATTTTTACCTCCAAAGTGGTGGACCTTGAGCCTTCGCGGACAGAGGCATCGGGCAAGTGGAAGCTTCACCAGACAGCGCTACGTGCCAGAAGAACCGCGGTATCGAAGCGAGAGGAACAGGACTGGAACATACAGGAAGAGGCGACCACTGGATCTACTGGAAGAGGTGGTGCCAATTGTAGAGGTGGGCGACGAGGCGGAGACGCCAAAACACAACCAACAGTCGAAAGCGTGGCAAGGTGCTGGCATGGACAACAAAAAAGGGTCTGGTGGTATCAAGGGCGGTGGTGGAAATGGTCAGCTTCCAACGGCTTTGACGGGCAGTGGGTCCCGCTTGCGGGCTCTAAATCTACCTGCGGGGCCGATCATGATGATCGGGAAGCATCTTATCACTCATGCAGCAAGAAATGGCGGGCGCGTGGTTCTTGTAATAAGGCATTGTTCCTGATACTAGATTAATTCTAAGAAGCCTACATATTCACTTCTGCAAGAATAGCACGAAGATTCGTATTGTCGTCTAGTACTTCTATTGACTTTCTTATTCTATCGGAGCAACTGAACTGCTTCTACTTGTTGGTTCTACTAACCACAGGTTTGGCTCGGGAGAAGGACAGGATCATGAGTAGATCTGTTAATACTATAGATCATGAATGTCCTTGCACCATGAACTTGTCAGACATATTCTTGTTCTTGTGTGACCAAACATGGTCTGTTCTAATGCTGAAACTGAAGAGTGTTTGCAGGAACGCGATGAAGGATATGAAGAGGATTGGAGATGCGGATGGGACGAGGACTGGCCACAACCAGAGTGGCCACAGAAGTCAAAGCGCGCCCTGAGAAGGGCCAAAATGAAAGCAGATGAGAGGAAACTGATGGGGGAACAACAGAATGGAGATGCCACTGACGTAAAAACAGAGAACAAGTACGAGGAGGAGGAACCTATGCAGGAGGATGCTGCATCGACAGTTCTTCACGGAGCCGGACGCGGAGACGCTCTGTGTCTTGATAGGTCGGTCAAAGACTCGTCGGCTCGAGATGATGTTGATGATGAACGGTGCAATTTGGGTTGCTTCATACCCATGGAGATTCCTGACAAGAGGCCAAGCCGACCAACGCCCGACGCAATCAAATCCATCACAGTATCAGTAGATGGGGCTGCTGCTCGTACCACTACTGTTGACAATGGGTATCAGGGGGCCGCTAAAACAGCACCACATTCGGAAGCTGACAAAACGGAAGAGGAGATCTGTGTTATGACGCTAAGCGCAGACGAACTCGAGAAGCATAAGGCGCAAATGAAAGAGCTTCACTTCAGCGAGGTGTGCAAGCCATGTGGATTCTTCTGGAAATTATGAAGGCCAGTTCATATTGCGTAAGTAAGTAATGAATATGTCCTTCATATCATTCATTTCCAATTGTGTGACTGTTCACGACCTCTCACATGGATGAGAAGATTCGTTCAACAAGAAAAACCATGAAGAGGTAGTAGAAGAACAACGCATATGTCTAACGAGTAGACCACCACAGACACTTTATTATTTATTATTTATAAAGAACTACATTAAAAGAAAAAGTGCTTTTCAGACAGGAGAGTAAAGATTCACTTCTGCAAATTGGCCTTGGCTCTAATGAAATCGTTCGGGTGTAAGCTGGGCGACGAGTGTCACTTTTGTCATATCTGCACTCCTGAGCAGGCGAAGGCAAGAAAAGCCAGGAAAATTGCAGAGCTGCAAATGCAAGCTAGATTGAATGGGAAACCCATCACGAGAAACGTCAAGAAGAGGGAGAGCAGGTTTAAGACGCTGTTCCTGCGAGAGTAAACTTCAACACCAGACGTGCACGACATTGACATTTATTATAGAAGAAGTACTTACTTACATATACATATACCGTTATCCAATGTATGGAAGAAGTAGCAAGTAAGAATTGCGTCGTCGCTCGTATAATATCCCGGTATGTTTTTTTTTTCGACTAGAACAGGAAGTGGTGCTCAGCATCGGATTGCTGTGGTCCGCCCCTGTCGCCAATTCATGTTGTTACTGAAACGAGCTAGATGCTTGCGCTATGAATACTTCTAATGTAAAAAGGAGAATGAACAATGTTGAAAGATCACACCCTCATCGTTTGCTTCACGATAACTGCAACAACCCAAGTATATTTATGACTTATTGATTCCTTCACCTTCCTAGAATAAGCACAAGGTATGCACGTACTTGTACATAACTTCGCATTTTCTTAATGACTGACCTCATGTCGTGAGTGAGACTCCGCTAAACACAAAAAATGATTCCTACTTGTTGTTGGTCACAACCCATGTACTAAGAGTTGCTCGTTTTCATTTTGTTCATATAGTTCCGCGAGTTAGTCCCTGAACGTGGAACCAAACTGTTGGAATTTTTGGATCCAAGGTGCTTCAGTCCATTTCTTACAGACAAGGAGGTAGTGTAGAAAATGTTTAGGAGAGACCTAATTATATTCAGTCATTATGACTGAGAAGGGCTTGACAGGACTACTAGAAGAGATCAGGGGGCACAAACCACGATCGCACGTGGTGACTTCTGATGAACATACTTGCACGAGGATACAACTGCTCCGAACCTGCGACGAATCTTCCTTCTCGAATGTGTCCAAAAATCCCACTTGTGTCTTTTTATATTTTGCCCCACCCTCTCAATTTAGATTTTAATTTAGATTTACGATCGCGTGATAACGAAAAATAACTAAGCTTTGACATTATCTTTCTTAGATACAGCTCAAGATCAAGTGTGATTCGTTCAAATGTTGAATCTAAACAAGACTTCATATCTATGGAGCCCCGCTGGTGTGAATCCCGCGCAGGAACCATATGCGCAGGAACTATGATCGAAGTTTGAAGAGTCAAGCCCTTGATAGTTTATAATATGTTATATCTTTCTTGCATGCAAGAACGAACCAACTTGTACTAGTTTCATCTGTCAGCAGTAGCAGGGCATATGCCTACATAATTATATCCCATTAGCCGCCATTTGCTCTCTGTTGTCTTGAATCACCATTGAGTAATTTTCTTCTTTTTTTGGCTGATGCTGGTCGTATTTTTTTTATATATCACTCATCAGGTAACTAAAGGCAAGACCCAAGAGGGTTCGCAACTGGGAGCCCTAAACTGAGTCGCGAGAAGTGTCCATCAAGCGCGACTGGCTCCGGCCCGCGCGGTGTGGACAACGTCGCTCCCTCACATCGTCTCAGGACGTCGAGGCGCGGCAGTCGCAGCTGCGGGGGGGTTGGCGCCCTGTGGAAGCAAGCTGATTGATTGATTGATCAGCGGGAAGGCAGTCGTGCTCCCACAGTCCAGAGTTGGCCCTGGGTCTGTTTGTTCCTCCGTTATCCAGCACCGCCGCTCGTTAGACGGCCGCATATTACTGATTGACTGATGTACTCCGATGTTAGCAAAAGGATGGCTTTCTGGATCTTCTTCCTTCTTAGAACATGAAATTTCTGATATTTCTTGTTTGTGCATTTTTGGCTCTCCCTGGTTCTGTTTTTGTGCTGTTAGAAACAGGCCGAAACGCGTCTGTATGTTCTTTGTTTTCTGATTCGTATACATGTCAAGGCGTAGAACCGACAACAAAATGACCGATTACAAAACATAAATGACGGAAATTATTACCAAAAGTATTGATGAAGTTGAAGTCTTCTGGTCTATCTTTGCATGGTCTAGAAGCATTACAATTATTGAGAAGATAGATTGAAAGTTTGCTAGCATGAAGGATGAAGGATGAAGTTAGTTGATTTATTTGAAGTGTATTCTTTGCCTGACTCTCCTCCCTCTTAGGGGTGAGGCATGCAAGGTTCAAGCCGATGTCCGCTTCTCCTATGAGGCTTTTGACTTCGTTGTGGCATCCCGCTGGACGATCTTAGTGTAGTACGGAATTCAGGGCTTCCCGGTATTCCTTTCGGTTCCTCACACATGCGGGGGGAGCCACCAATTTGGGGGAGGTCTCTCTTTCAGCGTCCTCAACCTCATATGGTTTGGCAATTCTCTCTCTCGTTGGTTCACAAGTTCTACTTTTTTGTGGATCCTTGACCTTGTCACATCGATTCATCCAGCCGGTAGATGCGATGTGTCTATCAAGGATGCACAGAGTAGAAGTCAGCCAGCAGTCTGCTATGACCACGGGGACGTATGCGTATCAAATATGTATGAATTGGTTTTTTTTACTATCGGACTTTATAAAGCACGTCGTGGTAGATTTGATACGAGCATGCGCTTTCCCAACCGGAAAAGCGATGTTGCCGCACGCGATGCACTGACTGATTGATTGCTATTCAGCATTTCGATGTTTATGATTAACAAGGTGAATCTGTGTATTAGCACCAGCAGGATTTGTTCTTTTCGTTGTCTGTGAGTGGTCGTCCTCGTCGTCCGCCGAACTAACATGTGGTGAGAATTCACTACTACAGCAAAAAAATGAAAGATTGCCCTCAGATGGAACAACCCATCAGACCAGCATCAACAGTGAGCCCGACGATCCTCCCTCGGAGGGACATGCTGTAGTCTTCCGTGTTCGCGACGTCACTGTGCAATATGGAAGATACGGAAGGGCCCTGCTCTACCAACTTGCTGAACAAAACGGACAAGTCGTCCTCCTCTTGCTGGATATGATGATCACAAAATAAGAATACTTTGTCGATACATCCGGCAAACTCCAGGCACAAGCTGATACGATGATAAGGTTAACAAGTCATCTTCAACGGCGATCACATCATTAGTCGTGGCTGAATCTTAAATCACACAAAAGTTCGCTATAGCAAGCGATTGATTACTACATCTTGAGTTCATGTTTCAGGAATGGGCGGTGGAGAAACGACCGCTTGTGAGCCTCGAACAGCTTGTGAGCCTGAAGAATTGATATCGTGTAGCTTGACTTAATATGATCCAGATCTTCACCTTCATTGCCGCTATGTTGAATCTGCCAACCCTCTCATGCACGACGACGACCCCGTCGTTCGATCCATATCTTTGTGACAATCATCATCATCATCATCATCATCATCAACTCGGGAGGGGAATCGATAATCCAATACCCTCAACATCGTTGAACTGCAAGAAGATGTCTCTACTTGCTTTTTTGCTTGTTTTTCCAGTGGAGTGTTTCAATTACTTCGACCAGCTTTATTGTAACTAAGAAAATGATCGATAATCAGTACCAGATGATTGTACTAAGTACTTCATTGTTTATTTGTTGCAGCAGCAGCACTGTCATAATTTAGCTTCCATCAGACCATTACAGCTAATTCTGCGTACTATTTCGTCTGTGAGGACGTAGGGAACAAGCAACATCACAGTCTTCAGATTGAAGTAGTGTAGTGGTTACGTAGTTGTTAACGCTTATCGTAAAGTCTAAGTGTGCAATAAAAAGATGAGTCGTGGTCGGTCTCGTGCTTCGCGGGGTCGGTCTCGCAGCCGCGACAGAGCTACAAACCAGATCGGTGCAGCATCAAAGCAAATACAGGTGAGCAATGCGGACGCAGCGTTCATTCTCGGCAAGCACGGAAAGACCAAGGTATTATTTTTTGCTGCTAGTTATCGGAAGAGATTGATGCTGAGATGTATGAACCTGTTGCAGAACGAAAGCCAGAAAGTAGCGGGCACGGAATAAAGATACGCAAGAATGAATCAAACAAGCACCAGGAAAAATGTGGAATCATGATCCTCCAAGAATCCATCCCTTCATTATACTCGTACTCCCTTAACAACTCTCCCGTAACCAAGCAGACAAGTAGACATGATCAGGAACAACTTAAATTTCAACAAAGGTGAAAATTGCACGGGCATCCGGTGCCGAAAGCTTGAACTTGGACGACCTAAAGCTCGAAGCACATGGAACAAATGAGGCGGTAGACAGGGCAATAAAATACGCAAATTTCCTTATGGCACAACGGCTAGGTACACTTCTTCAGACACTTTTTACTGATATCATTATCTTCTTACTGCAGGTGCAACCATGTCGTTGCCCTGCAGGAGGAAAGACTTTGTTGCTTCCTAAGAGATTGAAAATATTTTGCTCACCGATTTTGTTTTTGTTGATACAAGTACAGGGTTGATAATGTTGTCTAGTATTCTTCATTTGTTGATTCCTCCGCGCCGTCCGCTGACTTCATTTCTTGGAGGTACAACCAAAAACACAGGTCCTGTGACTGTGAGTGGCGACAAGGATAACACAGGAGATTTGACTCTATTGGAGGTGCCAAACGACGCCGTTGGTTTCGTCACGGGTCGAGGCGGAAATTTTTTGCGTGCCATCGAGGAAGAATGGTCAGTCCTTATGTTCTTCGCAGAATATGAGAAAAAGTCGAAGTCCGGACGCGAGTCTGATGTGGAGATGCTCGCGATCTTCGGGGCGGACCGACGAAACCGAAGGGGAGCAGAGCTCAAGGTCCTCTCAGCTGTCGAGAGTAAACATACTGGTTGGTACAATTATGGAACAAGACAAGACAAAAAATTGAAATATTATCACAAGAACCTTCCTCGCTGCCTTCTCGATGTAGTAGAACAAGTACCAGATGATGAATTCTCTCGATGTTGATTAACATTAAGTACCATTAAAGCTAGCACAGATGGTGGTGGTCTTCTGACATTCTACTTACTAGAGCGTGAGAAGCACCACTGCTCCATGAAGACATTTTTTTATTGACTATATGATTCCACTTTTTAGTAGTTTCGGATCACTACTTGAGACGCTTGAGACATCTTTATGATAAATAAGCAGCAAGTATGAGTAGCAAAACATCCTGACCTGCGGAACAAGGGTTCTTTCTAAGTGAAGCTACATGAGAAGGAAATTTTGGACCGAGACAAGGAGGGCGATGAATGGAAGAGTGGCACTATGGAGTTCGAAGATGATCACCAACTATCCTTCGCATTGGGGAAACAAGGAGCAACACGCCGAAAACTCGAAAAAGCAAGTGGATGCATCCTCCAATATGTCGGAAATACCGCAATATTTACAGGTATTTTCTCACAGTACTAGGCTTGAAGAAGTATGAGAGGCCCTGCTGTAAACATTTTCATTTTTCATGCCTTTTAAAAGCAAAACTAGAAGTTTAGAAAGATAGAGTGACTTTCATTATTTATCAACAGACCTCATGATCTACAGGGATAGTAGTATCTTGATATTTGATCAACAGACTTATTTTTCCGCATGCCACTCGCACTCCAATATATCCTAGGGACCAAGCATCAACGGAAAACGCTAAGGCAATATATGAAGTGGCTCTTTGCACAGTTGGACGGGCCAGTGGATGTGCCAGACGCTGAAGAACGGGATGACTGCACGATGCTCAAAATCCCACAGGTAACTAGTACTAGTATTACGATTCACGCAAGTTGTACTAGGGAAACTCGTACCTGCTTTATGATGCGTGGTGTCTCTATCGTACTGATTGAATGGTGTTGCACCAGTCAGTATGGTCCAGTTGAAAGTTGTTCTTTCATGGTACTTCTCTGAGTTCTAAGTAACAAGGATCTACATTTGAACAGGAATGCGTCGGCTACATCACTGGCGCACGTCGCGCGGCTCTTTCAACTATTGAGATGGACTTTGGTTGTCTTATGTTTTTCACCGGTAGCAAAGACGACAAGAGGGACTTCGAAATGCTTGCAATATTTGGTCCGGAGTCCGCTCGAAAAGGCGCGGAATTGAAAGTAAAGTCCTCAGTCGAAGCGAAGTCGCGAGGATACTATGCAGGCTCCTTGCGGGAAAACAAGGAAGATTATGGCGAAATCAAGATTGGAACTTTTTAGATAGAAGTTGTATCTAGACAGTAAACTCCTAGACTAAGATTATATCAAAATTTGAATCATACGGGCATGTCGATGCACTAAAAATACCCTTAGCAGACGTAAATCAAAGCGAAATCTGAAGAACATCTTCTATGTCTATCTAATAGTGTTCGTCCATCAAAGCTCTGATTTTCGTAGTTTCTCTTTCGCCTTCCTACTTCTATCTTCTAACATCGATGGGGCCGCCCAGGCTTCGCAACTGATGTCTTGCGCTTGGTAGATAACGATATCGGATACGTGCTCGGGAAAGGTGGCGTAACACGCGTCAAGTTGGCCAACGCTAGTGGTTGCCATTTGCAGGTACACACGACTACGACTAGATTTGGTGTTTTCAATGATTTGAATGGTATAGAAGACCGCTTGTTGATGTCGTTCTTCTACCAGCTCCTATCTCCTTGATACAATTTTTGGTGACCACAGGTGACTTAGAACTACTCAGGACGAGATTATATTTTGCTCGCTCGAAGTTGAGAAAGTGCGTCACGTCCTTTCTCAAGAAATGATTTCGATTTCTTTATATACACAGACAACTAATTTTTTACATTCACACATTCATCAGTACATTGGTGACTTCGCGTGCATCGCGGGTACACAGGAAGAGCGAAGAAACTGCCGCGACTATATCCATTGGCTCTTGGACCAGAGGAATGGGAAGATTGACGTCGACTCACGAGGACGAAACGATATATTGGAGATGACCGTTCCGGAGGAGTGCATCGGCTGGGTCACGGGTAAGCAGGGTGTAGAACTCCGAAAGATCGAGGAAAAAACCAAAACTTTCTGTTTTTTGGCACGAGATCCCTCAAGAAACGGCCACGAACGACTACTCATTTGCGGCACCTTCGAAGGGACGCGAGCAGAAGAAATTGGTGAGACGGGTTTGAAAAAAAATATATAGATTATTAAAGATCATTCTACTTACTAGTTGCTCTCGCTTAACCAATTATAAGCAAAGCACGACCATGAACGTTTTGATCCACTCGCTCTTGTTTACCTTTCTGTAAATTCTGGAATTTGTAGGTCGCGCGGGCGCACAAAGGCTGGTTGAGGACTTAGTAAGGGAAAAGCGCGAGCTCGACGCTAACAGGCAGCACCACGGCGGTGGGCGTTTTGGCGGTGGTTATGGCGGTCCCCCACCGAGACGTGGAGATAGCCGCAGACGGGGTGGTGGCCGCGGAGACTCCCGAAATGCATTCCGTGGTGGTGGTCGCCCTGACTCTCGGCGACGTGGCGGTGGCGGTGGACGAGGAGGCGGTCGCCGTGAAAGCCGCGGCCGTGGAGGTGGACGCGGTGGAGGCCGTTTCTAGCCAGGTCGTGGTGGGTGATGCATCTATTCTGAGATCGATGCAGATGAATGTGACTGGTTGTGGTTCAAGATCATCAGATACAAAAGAATATATATATTGAGTTTGTCGTTCGTTGTCTCATCACCTTTGTGTCCGTTATACTAGGGAACTGTACTAGATGATCTGATTTTCAGATATAGTCGTTGAGACTTGTGCTTTGGTCGGCCCTTAGCCTCTGTTATGAAAGTATGCTCGATGATGTAGGAAGAAATCCAAAAGTACCGACACACACAACTTGCCGCCTGGTGACCTTCTCCCCTATGCCTAAACAGAGTTAGTATTATAGCCGTAACAAGCATAAGCCTCCAGTGGTCGCGCATCCACCTGCCCCCGTACTCAATGCAGAGTACGTAGGTACGCTGCGAGTCCACTGCTCTTCTGAACCTAGATCATGCCCAAGTACACTTAATGACAATTTCACGCTACAGTACACCTACACGTAGTAAGGTACGCAATAAATATCACAAATATCTTGTTCTTGCGCATCGTCAATGAATTTCTTTCGCATTCGCTGACAAGTAAAAGATAACGATAGCGATTTGGAGCCTTGCTCGTTTTCATCTCACTTCTCACACTTTTTGAAAATGGTTTTTAGACTGAAGAGATGGCGTAAAATGTAATTGTACTGCAAAGCAAAGACAACTCCATTTTTCAGAATACCAACCCATGTTGAAATTGAAAAAGAAGCCAATGTCATCGAAGAGATGGGGAAAACGAAGAATATGATGATCGTAGAGCACCGCTCTGGTATGTCTACAACACGTGTAAATCCTAGGAGAGCTTCAGTACTTCTGCGACTGCCGCAACAACGGTTTCGCTGTGTTCATCAAGTTCTCAACATAGTGGCCTCGCTAGACTGTGTGTTCGCCTAACAAGTATGTATCTCATCTTCTCTTGATCGAAAGCTCTCGATCACCAGTTCTTGCATACAGTAGATGTGGCCCTGGATCCCTGTGCTATGTATTTGATGCGGATTGAGACGATCATCTTCTATCACTCGTGGACGAAGTCATGATTTCTCTCTGAAACGGTAAGTGCTTTCATCGGCGTCTCCCAGAAGTAGGTGGACTTTTGTTCGTTAATGGACTTGTGAACGCAGTAGTAGGAGTTCGTGTGCTTGTTTTTTAATGGAGTGTACGTAGTATCGGACTCCTTGTGAGTGTATACTTATCTAGCCCCTGCGTAAGACTTACCAAAACAGAAGACCGTCAGTAGTGATTTTCATGGCGAAGACGAATAAGCTTAAGAAAGCAAGTCTTCGTCCTTGTTTTTTCGCTTGCGTTCAAATTTAGTCGTTTGATCTAGTGTTGTTACCAATACCATTGTTCCTCGAGGTGGATCACAGCTATAGCGGTTGAGATTAACACCACGATCATGTTGCGGTGCGCGGTTCCGGTTCGATGTGCTCTCGCACTATTTTTATCCACCGCATCTATTTTATGTGTGGCAGGGTCGTCTTCGCCGGAGCAGACGGGCACGACCGTCGTAGGGCAACGAGATGGAGGAGAGGAAGCATTAATCTCTTCCACCTCTGTTTGCGTACTAGAGCGAGCTGGGAGGAATTCAACTTACGAAGAGGGGGTGAAAAAAGATGAAAATCTTCATGAGAAGAACGTCAATGTTTCTACTCATTTTGTCGACGACCGGGAAAAAAGTATAGTTCCCGGAGGTCTCGGCTTCGTGGAAGGACTGGCCACGACGACATCACTGGAGGACAGGAAATCATTTGGTCAACATGTTCTGAGTGCAAGTACAGTTTCGCAGGGCTCCTTCGTATCGTCTCCTATTTCGTCGTGTCATACTTCATCGAACCTCTTAGCACAGAAGTTTCCAGCTGACTCGGACGATTGCTCAAAGGACGAAGATTCTTTCAGCGGTCGTAAAATAACGACCCCTGCTTCAGAGGAAGTGGATGTGCATGTGAGCACCAAAATGAAGAATGACAGCAGTGCTAATACTTCTAATAAAGTAGAAGGAGCAATGAAAATATCCAAACAACAGGGACGTGCCTTTCTCATGCGCGTTGATAATATTACTGACCCAGATCTTGTCGACCTTATTTCGCAGCCCCCGAAAGGAAAAGAAGAACAGGCGGGCAATGAAACAGGAAATAACCACGATGATTTAGTAGTACCCGTACCCGCTTTGGTAGAAGATCCTAGTACTTCTAAGACAAAGGCTCGTTGTAATAGCACAGCTGACCAGCAGACTCGCGGTGCAGGTGCTGAAAGGTATAACGCGACGACCAACACGAGGACGACTACACGACAGAAAAAATTCGTAGACGAGCAATATCAAGTCGAAGAAGAAGAAGAAGTAGATGAGGGCGATCGTGGATTGGCGCTGGAACTTCAAAAGCTAAAGATCACTACGACAGTAAATACGACTAAGCGGATGAAAAAGAAGGAGGACAATGAAGAGCAGGATTCTCCTCTTTACCATGCGGGGGATTGGAAGTCTATCGCATGTCATCGTCAATGTTCCGGTGCATCTTCCTCCGTATCTACAACATGCTTCGGACCCGGTGGAGACTACTTTTCAGATTGTTCACGCCCATCTACGTCCGATGCTCCCGCTGCTCAATTCGGTTTGTTTGCTACATCAACTCCAGGTGCATCCCCAGCTAGCACGGTGATGAGAAAGCATGCACCATCATGGGCCGACTTGTACGACGACGAGGAGATAGAAGCTTTTGTGGGAGCAGCACTAATTCTCGGAGTCCCTTCTGTTCCAGAGGATATGGAGGAAGGTTACGCGGGGCCTTCCTCTGAGGCTGAAGATCGACAGAAGCCGGAGCAGAGTGACGCGCGAGACAGTACGAAAAAGACCGGTTATGTTTCCTCACCAAGCAGCGCGAGCAGTGAGGAAATTGAAGCACGAACTCAGCGCAGCAAGCCAGGGGGCGACAAACGCGTAAGGCAGAAACACCGACAGCGAGAACAAAACGAAGTAGTCGGACAGGATTTGGCTTGGCCTTGGCGGGTACTTCTTACTTGTTTCTGCACATGATGATTTTTGCTCAGTCACATTCTACATCTACTCCTTCTTCTATCATAAGTTAGAAGTATAATTATGAATACTAGGGAAGTTGCTCCTCTGGACCCCACGTGGCAAATATAGTAGGCTAGGAAGTTCCTCCTTACTGCGACAAGATTTCTTCAGCTTCCTTGACTATTTTGAAAACGAGAAAGAGAGAAGAAAAACACGCAAGCAGTTTGAGAGGCTCAAAGAGTTGCAACGTCGAACGCGAACGAGAATAAGAGTGAGCGCCGTCCTTCGTCGCTGTTGCATTTTTTTAAGATGTGAAAGCCTTTACGCATGTACAGTAAAGCGGGCCCATACCTGGCTCAGCCCGCCAGAGTAGTAAGGAAGCGAAGCCACGAACCCGAGAGGGCTCGCCGCTGCCGTTTCCGCCGCGAGCCCGTTTCGGCCCCGTCTTGCATGCTTCGGACAAATCAGCCTCGCGAACCCGAGCCCGAGCCTGGTCTCGCGAGCGCGGCTCCTTGCGGGCCCGGCCCCGTGCCAGCCCTGCTCCGTGCGGGCCCGTCCTTGTGCGGGCTTGGGCCATAAGATGACGTGCCCCGCCCCGTGCGAGCCCAGCCGGCATCGCCGGCTCCGTGCGAGCCTGAGCCGGCCCCGTGTGAGCCCAGCCATGTGCGAGCCCAGCCCTGTGCCAGTTGAGGTGGGCCCCTTGCGAGCGTGTCCCCGTGCGAGCCCGGACTCGAGCGAGCCCAGCCCCGCCGGCTCCGTGCGAGCTTAGCCGGTCCCGTGTGAGCCCAGCCCCGTTCCTTCGAGCTCAGCCCCGTGCGAGCTCAGCGGGCCCCCTGCGAGCCAAGTGGGCCTTGTGCGGGCGTGGTTCCATGTGAGTCCAGTTGGCCCCGTGCGAGCCGAGCGGGCACCGCGGGAGCCAAACGGGCTTCGTGCAAGCTCAGCCGCGTGTGAGCGCGGTCTCGTGCAAGCCCAGCCGTGTATGAGCCCGGGCAGGCTCGGTCGTGGGAGGCCTGCCCCGTGCGAGCCCGGCCCCGTGTGAGCCCGGCTCCGTGCGAGCTCGACGGGCCCCGTGCGAGTTCAGGGGCACCCGCGCGAGCCCAAGCCCGAGCCTGAACCATGCCCAGCGAGCCCGGAGCGGCCCTGGCGAGCCCAAACCGGCCCCGGCGAGCTCAAGCCGGCCCCGGCGAGCTCGAGCCGGCCCCAGTGAGCCCGAGCCGGCTCCGGTGAGCCCGAGCTCGAGCCGGCCCCACCCATCGAGCCCAAGCTGGTTCTGGTGAGCCTGAGCCGGCCCCGGCGAACCCGAGCCGGACCCAGCGAGCCTGAGCCGGCGCTGTCGAACCTGAGCTGGCTCCGGCGAGCCAGAACCGGCGCCAGCGAGCCTGAGCCGGCCCCGGTGAGCCCGAGCCGGCCCCGCCCGGCGAGCCTGAGCCGGTCCCGCGAGCCCGGGCGGTCCCGCGAGCCCGGCCGCGAGCGCGCCCTCCCCTCCCGCGCGCGTGACGCGCCCGCGCGCGCGTGGCTCCGGCGAGCTTGAGCCGGCCCCGGCGAGCCTGAGCTGCCCCCGCGAGCCTGAGCCGGCCCCGGCGAGCTTGAGCCGGCCTTGTTGAGCCCGAGACGGCCCGGCCCAGCGCGCCCGAGCCCCGGCGAGCTCGGACCGGCTCCGGCGGGCCCGAGCTGGCCCCAGCGAGCCCGGCCGCGAGCGCACCCCCCGCGCGCGTAGCGCGCGTGCATGGTCCCGGCGAGCCGCATGC